AACTGAATCGGACTGTTTTGGTTGTGTGTAATTTGATTTTGGTATATCTTTTGAGCCAGTTCAGGACTGCTCTGTTTTGGTGAGTGCCTGCTCTAATTTCTCTGGTACTTATGTTCCTTGAGCTGGGGTTGGAAGTAGGATCCAAATCTTTCTAATTGTGGTTATTTTTGCTTTTTAATTAATTTCCTAATGCTCAGAAGTATTACTTTCTAATTCTCAAAAGACGACACAAATTCCTTTTTTCATTAGGCCTCCTGCCATTAAAAGATTTCAATGTTCTTTACAGAAAATCCTGAGGTTTTAAACAAAGCTTTTGAATGAGTTTCCAGACACGAACGTGACTTTAAAGGGATTCACTATCCATCTTCAGTTAAAGCCTGCTTACAAAGTGTGTAATGTAAGTATTTCTCCAAATACATCATTTTTGGCATCACTTTTATGTATTTAGCAGACACTTTTGTCCAAAGCCACTTACAGGGATCTGGTTACAGATACATTTCAGGTTTAGTGTTTTGCCCACGAACGATTTGACACATAGCCCTGAATTGAACTACTAAACCTTTTTTGGCAGATGAACACTCTTTGCCGTGAACGACCACCCACACAATTACACAACTTGTATTCTGAAATTTAGATGGCAACTTGTCAGCCTTCAGTTTAAACTCACGGTGTAATGCACAAATGGTCAGTCTCTGTGTAATTAGATTAAGATGAAGTGTGAGGCTGATGTTATGGATGCCTGCAGAACACACTGGGATGAGTCAGCACAGCATCCCAGACAATTACAGGAAACATGACACCTTTGGCCAGGCAGGGCAGTGAAAGCACGGAATTGATCCAGACAGTCTTCACAGGAGTTAGTCCAGCAGCCTTGTTGGTTTTTGTTTATTTAAGGTCTCCTTTCTGGGTTTGAACTTTGGTCATGCTCAATAAAATAAATACATCCACCACCGATAAAGCACTGTATTGAATCCTCACATGCTCATATAAACCTACAGTAGGATGCATTAAGAGTCATTAAAAATGGAAATGGATTTAAAAAGAAGTTTGTCCTTTAGTGGCATGCACCTTTTCAGAAAACAAACCAGTAATAATTCTTCCTCAGTACTCCTGAGACGCAAACTTACCAAAAAAACGAGGCTGGCAGAAGTTGGTAAGATGGAAAGGCATGCAAAGGCAAGCTCAAATCATCTGTATTCTCCAAGTGATGAGCATTATCAGTAGGTGTCCGTCAGAGCATCCCTCTTACATCTTAATTGCGCAGAGAAGCTGATCCGAGTCCAGTGTTAGTCTCCTGTGGGAAGTTTATCAAACGAGGCACCGAGAAGCAGCTTCCCACTCCGACGCATCTCAGCCTGCGTCCAATGTCTCGATCAAAGTGGGACTGCTCTCTTCCTGCTTGCATAACAATACTCAGGACACATCTCACGGTTTGCTGCAGTTGAGTCTTGTGGATCAGACTACTTAGCCAGCAGGCGCTCCCTGCTTGCAAATGGATTGGGCGCTATTCCAGTCCAAGTCTTACTGAACTAAAATGCTGAGCAAAAAGTGGGCCATATAACTGATGGAAAATTCATTAAAAAAAAACTGTCTCTTACTCTGTACTTATTTGTCTCCACCTTTCTCCAGCTGTCATAGCCTTGCACGGTGGGTTGCATATGCATCGTTTCCGGCAGGCGCTCTGTGTCCTGAGTCACAGTCTGAACCAGTGAGCCGGACTAATATGAATTGTCAGTGCATGTTTGTAGCCGGCTGCCTACAGGGCACAGCATCCCTCAACAGAACACTGAGGGAGAATCTGGGCCAAACGGAAGCCGATTCAGAGGTGTCAGCTCAGGAAGATCGACTGACAGGAGCGATGATATAGTGACGCCGTGGATTCCCACACTTTCTGTTAATCTCTGAAGAAGGGATTACAAACTGTGACTACGGCAACTCCCTCTGTGAGTGCTGAGCGTGAATATTACAAAATAACTCTCAAATCAACTTAAAAAGTAGATTAAGAGCAAACCATGCACATGAGATGAAATAAATCCAGTACCAAAAGCAATGAAACAGCACAAGAGTTTAAGGTAGAAAGGAATGGTTAGGTTGTGTTTTGTAATATTTCTGGCATATTTCAGAACATTTTTCCCGTTAGTGAAAACATGAAGTAGGACAAAGTTCATGGGAGGAGATTATAAACTGAGACAGTTTAGAAATGAAAGACTTTGAACTGTGTCACAGACACGAGATATGTGAGGATTACGGTCAAAAATGTGAAGGGGATAGACACAGAAATTGTCGGAAACGTGAAAGCAATCCGCACACGGGGAGACGGTTAACACGTTTGCCGTCTAACCTTCAGACACAAATTGCTATCCTCGTTATGAGATCTCTCACAAAGGGCAGAACGTAATTGCAGTTTAATTAAAGGTGCCGAGATAAGGAGTTAAAAGGCCCGTAGGCAGGGATAAACATTTAGCTGATAACAGAGTCCTCCTCGTTCACCTTTCTATTGTAGCTTATTAACTGTGCACTTCACACACCGATGCTTCGATGTTCTGTTCCGGCCGGGAGACCTTGACTCCTTTGCATCAGCACCACTTACAGATACTTGCGCTCGCCAAAGGACAGCCAGAGGAATCAGGACACTGGGTGTGTCTCAATACCACCCAAAACTAATTTCTATGCATATGTGACCTCTACTGACCGATTTGTTGAACTGCAGCTCTGTAGCTCTCTCTGTGGCCGCTGCATTTGGTGCAGATCAGGAGTCCGCCAAGAGAAAGCTTTATTCAGACGATCATCAAACTTCCTGTATCAGACAGAGGGGGGCGTTCATTCCTGCCAGATTCCCCCCTGCCCATAATTTGATTATCTCATTTCCCCCCTAGAAGTCATCATCATCATCATGTAATCATTTCTGTTGACTGAGAAGGGGGTTATATTTCTAGATTAAAATCCATCTTCAGGGTAATTCGTGCAATATACAAAAAGGCTGTCGATTTGTGCTTTATCAAAATGGTTACAACGTGAAAAACGACGGGCTTGAAATAGCAAAAGAAAATAAACTCCTTTGCAAAAAGTTAAGTATAGTTGGATTTGTCAGGTGATTGGTGGAGCCCTTGAAGACAGAACAGAAAAGGGCTTTTAGAATTAGAGAGTGCAAAATTGGCCTTGATAAATGACTCATTTAAAAAAACAGTGATGAAATTTGAAATCATTCCCAAGTTGATATCTTAATCTGTATCAGTTTAAAAGGAAAACACGGGTAAATATTCACATTACAGAATATGGAACATGGTCTGAGATTTTTGTAGTAAAATGAACCAGCCGCTCGTGGTCTATAGCATCACAAATAACTTCATATGTAAACTTACATCCGTGCAGACAGTGTACATTTTCTAAAATGAAGCCACATGAGATACCACACACAACCGAGTTCGAGAATGCCTATAACACAGTTGATTAAATTTAAAAACTGCTATTTACCAGCCAAATGCACCACAACACGATTGCACTGTGTGAAGTATGCTCACCTCCTCCTGCTCCTCCTCCTCACTTGCTGACTTGGCAAAGCTTCAGTGAAAAATGTGGCCAAAAGGAGAACCATTAGCAGAGGAGTCCTGGCTTTAAGTCAGGTCAAATGTAACACACACAAAAAAAAGAGACAAATACGGTGCGCTGAATTCCTCTAAGAGACGACCGAGCAACTCCTCCGCGCGGTGATGGATGAACCGCAGCCCAGCCCTGTCCCTGCCTCTTATCTGCTTTTTCCTCCTGTTTTCCTCAGGATTAATCCACTGAGTTATACCATTCCCCTCTTCCTCCCGCTTCCCTCTCTGTCATGAGGATAATCACATGCACACATGCACTACAACTGACCAAGGCGGATGTCCACGGAGCAGAGACAGAGGGCTAGTGTTGGCTATCACAGCCTATAAATAGGCTTCTTGAGTTCATCATTGTCTCTTCCTATGATGGTGAAGAGCCTTGAGGGGCTGGGAGAGGGAGGAAGATAGACCAGGCACCATAACTAAATGCAGACTATCTCTCTGTTGGTCTCACCTTTGCCTGATTCTTCAGATATCTGAAAAACTATAAATGCAAGCACCAATGCTTTTTTTTTAAGAATGGGCATTGTGAAACATTAAAAAATAAATACTCGATAATGCAGGAGATTGGGCATCTGGGTTTCATTTGTTTGGATAACGTACGGTGAAATGATAAAAGGTCACATGTGAAATGTTTCCACATAGCCTGCGCAATTGTTGAATGTCACGGTGCACAAGATCACCAGCAAAATGCCAGCAGTGCTCTTCCTGTGGTAACACACTCTTTCTTTGCCCATCGCCAACATACACTCAAATGCAAAGACTAGTAAGTGCATTAAAAATTCACGTCAAATAAAATGAATCATTCTATAGAATTGAAATATAAACTGCTCAGGTGTATTTTGCACAGGTAGTAGTGGTGCCTGTGATCTCGTAACTGCACTTAGATTTACGGATTTGTTGAATAGAGTTTAGTGGTGCAAAATCTGTCAAAACGTAATTTCCAGGATCTAACATGCAATCACTTCCCTTTTTCTTTTTCTTTTTGTCTTAAAAAGCTTAAAAGATAAAGTATCCTGACTCAAGCTTTCACCATATAGTACTTCTGTCTGGTACCTCACTTTGCATCAGACATCCCTCCATCACTCCCCATTATAGTATCCTTTTTCCCTCTCAAGTACTGGAGTAAGGACCTGAGTTTAAACTGAAAGCAGCAAGTCCTGCTAAGCTCCATAAAAGAGAATTCAATTTTAAAAAATGTCTTTGCAGTGAAAGGTGCTACCTGATTCCCACACCTACAATTTCAAAATACAATATACATAAGTGCCCAAAGAGGCTAGTTTTGTTTTTTTATGTCTTGAAAAAGTCTTGTGTTTAAAATTCACTGTTAAATTATCTGTCACTTTGTGTGAGGCTAAACTTGAGGCTAAAGCTTCCTAATGTTTAATTCTGAGGGGTTTTTTTTGGTAGCGGTTTCAATGAATTCATTCAACAGAACAGATTCAAACTCAAACAGACAGTAAGACTTTGTATTTGCCTCCCTCACCATTTTCCTCTTCCTTTTTCCTGCCTGCATCCTTCTCCCTCTGTGTCACTTCATCCTGACTCCTCCCTCAGTCCACCCCGGTGTCCGCACAGCCTCCCTCCGCTTATTTTAATCTCTTCTCAACTCATTCGTCTTTTGGTTCCACCAAAAAGCCACAGACAGTCGCAGTGTTTCACCTCAAGACAGGTAAGATTTTATCTGAAGAGTCAGCTCAAAACTTAAAGACAGAAATTTCATGCTTCACTGAGGATGAGTCTCTACTGAGACCTGAAATGTTTGATGACTTTTCTTTTCTCCATGTCAGGCACTGAAGTCAGAAGTTCTGCGTGCACTGTGCACTGCAGATAGTTTAAATTCGACCAAATTGTTCAATAACTTGCTGGGCTAATCTAAGCTGCAATAGATGTGGTTTAATGTTGAAAACTTTATGTATTTGAAAAGGCATTCCGTGTCTCTTCGGGCCAAAATGACTGTGTGCCATGTTTAAGAAAAATATCACGAGAGTTTTATTCATTGTAAAAAATATTGCATGTATTTAGAAAAGTGTTTCAGCCATGGGCTGGCCAATGTCAGGGTTAATAATGTGAATCAGAAACAAAATGAATGGGGAATTTCCTGTTTATCCAGAGTGATCAGGGGGAGATGATTAATTCATCCCCATTCTAATGAGCCTCAAACATGATGTCACTGCCTCTAGAACGCACTGAAAAAAAGAACCAACGTGACGTCTGTGCAGAGCCTGAGGTTTTATCTACATTTGGTCTGTGCTATCAGAGCCATGCTGGCGGGCACTTTTGCATTTTATAATACTCTCTGGTCATCCCCCTGCAGCCTGTGAGCTGAAACAAAGGGAGGAAAGACACAGCAACATACCAGAGCAAACTGGTACTTCTCCTTTTATAGGTATTGTTGTATCGAGGCCTGGACTGCCGCAGATGGCCTCTGTCTGCTGACCTTCTCAGATGTGAACATTATGTATACAGTGGGACTGAAATGTGCACAAGCAGCTGTCTTGTTTGTTTGCAGAATGCCTTTTGGAGGAGGAAACAAGTGCGGGTGCTGCCAAAAAACCGTCTACTTTGCCGAGGAGGTGCAGTGTGAAGGGAAGAGCTGGCATAAATCCTGTTTTCTGTGCAGTAAGTTCTGGCAGTCTTCGGTAATCTGCTTTTTTATGCCCACTGACTCCTGATTTCATAAAGAGGCAGGAAGGAATGAAGGGAATTTGCCATCAACGTAGTGAGCATCCGCAGGTTTTCACGCAGATATTTCAGGCCTTATATGGATCCACTGGAAACGTGTCAAAGGTTTGGTCTTCCTTTTATGGCAGGGGAAGGTACTCCAACTCCTCATCCAGCACAGACAAGTGTTTATATTGACGACTCGGCACACTGTGGTTGTGCGGTTTTCTTCTTCGAAATGTCACACATAGTTTGTTGATATATCACATCTGTGAACATTTATTTTTTTATATTTTTTATTCAAGTTGAGCCTTTTTCCCAAAGAATTAACACAAGAGTGACGATGGGCTTGTTTTTCCTCACCACTTTGTTTTAAGTGGTCTGTAAGAAGAACTTAGACAGCACAACTGTTGCTGTTCATGTGGACGAAATCTACTGCAAATCATGCTACGGCAAGAAGTACGGGCCAAAAGGCTACGGCTTCGGAGGTGGAGCGGGGACACTGAGCATGGATACAGGAGAAGGACTTGGAATAAAGCCTGAAGTGTGAGCAAAACCTCCCTTTTGGCAATGATTTGAACTGTTTTATCAACATTATTAAGCCCAATAAGAAAAAGCGATCTCTTCATGTGTGACAACATGTCATTTCTTTATGTTTTTGACAGACAAGGTCCTCATCGTCCAACAAATAACCCAAATGCCTCTAAGTTTGCCCAGAAGGCAGCAGGCTCAGAGGTGTGCCCCAGATGTGAGAAAACTGTGTACGCAGCAGAGAAAGTTATCGGGGGAGGCAATGTAAGAAAGCAAATGTTTTCCTTTCCTTTTTTTAATTCTTGATCTGGATGTGTGATTAACGTCCGGAGAGATGCTCATGGATTTTTTTTGTTATGTTGCTGGCAAACCTCTTTTGTTTCTCATCAGTCATGGCATAAGGGCTGCTTTCGTTGTGCCAAATGTGGCAAAGGCTTGGAGTCTACGACCCTCGCTGACAGGGACGGGGAGATCTACTGCAAAGGTCTGTCAAATGAGCAAAAACTGAAAATAAGTTGAGAATTAAACATAGGAAAAATATGTTGACTAATGATGTGTTGAACAAAATGTGGAACAATCAGAGGTTCTAATTCATGTTCTTGGAAAAAAATCTGCAAAGTTAGAAATAAAAAGCAAACATGGATTGAGCATAAAAGCATTAAAAAAATCATGGCAAACTATCAGTGCACAATTGTTTTAACAAAGTCTGGCAGAGTGGAATACAATTTGTTGCAGGCATACAAGTGGAAGGCATTTGAAATGGCTGATACCTCACAATTGATCTCCATATAATCAATGAGTGTTACACTATTTGTTTATGAAATGCAAAGCTACTCTTCTTACAAAACAGCAGCCTCAATATTCCACACTGTTCAAAATCAATATTTCATCAATATTACATAGATAATAAAAGTCAACACATATGTAGATCTGTAATTCTGCCTTAAAAAGTGTTTGTATTTGAACACCATCCATCCGCTCCGTTTTCCATTCATCATGTCTTCACTTGCAGGTTGCTACGCAAAGAATTTTGGTCCAAAGGGCTTCGGCTTTGGTCAGGGTGCAGGAGCCCTGGCCCATTCCAAGTGAGGCCTGAGGCCTCAGCTCACATGGGACTGGTATCTGGTGGGTGTGCTCTGATATCCCAGCTTCCAGTCCGTTTCGGTCAATATCTACCCTCCCCTTTTTGCTACAGGCAATAACCACTGATCCATGCAATATGCAGCATTTTGTGCACATTCGCCAAACAGATGGTGTTGCATTAGAATCTGATGCACAAGCTTAACATTTAAAAATGTTTTAACTGAGTGTTTAATGAGCTGACTTTAAAATTGAACTATGCTGTTGCGTTTTAAGGGGACAACCACGCTTGTTCATTTTGATTTATATCTAAATTAGTTCAAGTGAAAAGAAAAAAACTATGAACATATTTCAAGACTGTGGGGGAAAAAAAAGCTTTCCACGCTGACCTATGCATAACATAATGTGCATATTGTGTTAAGATGTTCTTATTCTGCACAGACACTGAATAAACATCAAGCAAAAGCACAGTTTCCTGCATTTCTTGACATGTAGAGTTTGACAGCTTTGCACAACTGTTGTTGTTCTTTCTGTGGGTCCACTCTGTCGAAATCTGTCTATGTTTACGCGCTATTGGCTGTGCTGGCAACTCCTTCATATCACCAAACAGAGCGAAATCCCAGCTGTTGTGACGAACAACGGGGTCGTAGTGCTTGGTCCCATCTCTGGCTGTGGGCGCGCTGACCGGCAGGCCGGGCAGCTGTGGTGGGAGGGGTGGGTGTCAGGGTGGGGGCAGCTGTTTGTTCTGGCATCAACAACAACAAGAATGAGTTACATCGACAGCTAAACCACCTCAAAAAACCCATGCATATAATCTGTTGAGTAGATCCTTTTTAAGTCTTGAGTACTCTTACTATGGACTCTTGCACTAATTTGAAAAGTGAAAACAGCCCATTTGCTCTAGATTGAGATACAATAGCTCACACATTAGTCACAAGGAATATCTTTAAAAACAGATTTTTTAAAGGCCTTTATTGTACTTCTGAAAAAATTGAAAGTTGAGCAAATAGATTATCATCTGATGAACATGTTGACATTTTAGTATAATTGACATTTCTAATCTTAAGGTTTTTGCTGACTTGAAGGTACAAGTCAGCACCTGCCACAGTGGGCTGGGTGTATGTGAGGTGAACGCTTTTCAATTGCACGGGGAGGTGGAGGACTGAATCAGCTTTTCTGTATACAAAATATACAAAACTTTTCATATCACACTTGTGTTTCTTTAAAGAAAACCAAAGAATTGAGGGATTTAATACTTCATTTTCGTTCATAGCCTGTTCACTAAACAAGACACAAGGAGCTTGTATGGAACACGAACGTGAAAGGAAGAAAAGGAAGGGTAGCTCGGCAAAATTAGAAACGGAGACTAAAGTGAGCTAAGATAATGATGACCGATGGCAAGATGGAACATGAAATCTGTACAGAGGCAAAACCAGAATAAGGAAGCAAAGAACAAAAGAAGACAAACGGCCGATGTCAGCAGGCTTTCCTGGAGATAATGTGTCCGACACTCACCGAGCATTTTGCTAATCCTGCTGCCATTTGCACAGTTATGCTCACCCCTGAGTCAACAGCCTGAATCCCAGTGTCATATAAATCAAATTATAATCTGCGGATCAGTGCAGACTTTGTCCTGAACGCTGGTGATTCATTCCTGATATCAGCTAGAAAATGTCAGTGACGTGCTCTCGCGTTAGATATAAGAAACTGTTATGTATAAGAGAATTGGTGGCCAGCAGGCCATGATGCTGTTTAACTTCTTAGTCACTGCACACTCACAAAGCCTGTTACAGACAGTATCATGAGTGCCATGAAACCAAAATCTCTTTTTTTGCTGTGACCTCCCATTACCAGCAGGTGGCAGCTTTTGTCTAGTAGAACCAGGTATTTGGGAATTAAAGACTACAGGTTAGATGCTATGGCTGTTTTCTTTTTTGTTTGTTTTTTGTTGCTCTCTTCAGGACTAAAGCTGCTATTTCAGGCTATGAAACATTTCCATATTTAAAATGGAGAGTTTGAAACTTTTTGATGTCGCTGCTGTACAAACAGATGACTAAATCCGTAACACAAACCCCACCCGAGCCAACAGTGATTTATTGGATTAATGAGGACTAGCTGCCCTTGCGTGGATGGAACTGTACACAAAGTATTGTGTTCACGCGGACATACGCAACTGCATTTTCATTTCTTCTTTGGACCCATTTCATCATTGCACATTATTTTTGTTCAATGCTGCACACACGCACACGATTTGTGCCCTAAAACCATAGAGCAGCAGCAGATCCCATTGCTGCAGTTTGTATCTGTTTAGTTGGGACACACGCACAGTGGAAACTGAATTCCTTCTTTAAAACCTTGGCTTAGCATCGTCTGCAGCCGTTATCCTAACTAGACTAAGGGGGCCCCTACTGCCTCACAGAGGGCAGGCTACCTTATGTTTGTTTCAGATGAGCAGAAAAAGGAGACACAGTCAGATATTTGATCTGTGAGTGAGGTGAAAGGGAGCAAATTAAACTTATTTGTCTATGATTTTATCTACTCACATTTCAACATCTGTTTCAGTCGGTATATCTCACTGCGACGTGGATAGGGATGCTTCTTATCCCGTGCTGACAATAACAGGAGTTTACACAAATCAGAGGGAACAGTAAAGCAATCTATCAGTACAACACAAGTCACACAATATCTGGTAAACTACAACCAGCTCCTCTCATGGTGTGGGCATGTGTGTATGTCTATTTGAGTCTCCTTGTGACAGAGAGGAGGGACAGACGGGTGCAGCAGATAAATACTCGGGGGCATTATTCCCCCCATCACTTTGTTCCTGTCTGCATCCACAGCATCAAGACAGAAAGGTAAGGCTCTTATTAGAGAGTTTTTTTTTTACCTTAGAGGTGCTAATCTTGATCTCATAATTAGTTTCCCATTTTGGAAAAACAATTTGGCCAAATGTCTGACTCAGCCCACTTATATTCGTTGTTTTGTAATCTTTCCTTTGAATGACATTTCCGTATATTTGTCAGCAGAAAGCAAATGATCAGAGGTTCCCAGTTTCAGTCTCTGAATCAAGGTTGATGCTTTAAGTGTTTCTTTTTGTTTAAGTCAACAGTCCAAAATCCTTAAGGTGCTGAATTATCATCACAGCAGATGAAGGAAAAGGAAAAACATCCACATCTGAAAAGCTGAAAGCAGTATTTCCTTACAAAAAACAGCACTCAGTTCTCTTATTACTGCAACCTCAAAATAAATTATGTAAAGTCATTTTCAGAGATTAAATGCTTCAGCTTCTAAATGGGTCTTTTCTTTGTCTTACATGACAATAGTTCAAATTTCCAAAGAGTGAAAGGTTCTCTGTAATTTGGACTGGTAAGTTATGTGGATCATGTGCGTTATCTCTCTGCTCTATCCTCCTCGTAAGAGCAGAAACCTGGAATCCTTCACCACAAAGTGTTGTTTTAGGAATTGGGGGGCCCAGTCTATTTTTGTGTCTTTATCCAGCTGAAAAGTGGGGGTGACAAAGAGAAGCCTTATCTGTGTGGAATACCTGCCATGTTTGGGGCTTTGCATGCTCCTCCCTGTCTGCCATCACTTTACAGGTCCTGTGCTGTATCTCAGCACTCAGAGGTGATTTACTGATCGAGTCCAGAAGATTACTATGTAAAAAAAGGAGATATTTGATGAAAAATAATTTTCCAGAACTCTATGACCATTTTTTACTCAGGTATTAGGCAAAAAAAGTACATCAAGGTCCTTAAAATACCTTAGAGATGCACGGTACTGTGCAAAAACACCCAGAATTTGTTGTAGTTCTTTGGGAATCAAACTGCAAAAATGCTGAATAAAAAATCTGAATAAAATATGGGGTAGCTGGCAGCTCTAAAATCAATGCATGTTGGAGTTACAATGGATCCACCCACTGGCTCTAATCTCAGGCTTTTAAACTAAGTGGATCCCACTGTGGATCACTTCAGAGGACTAAGGTTTTATTTTTGTCTTGCAGGGAGCATTGAAATAGCCAAGATGCCTGAGAAAGCGTAAGTGTATTGTGTTTCTATTATTGTTTCCAAATCCACATGAGGGTATCAATTACATACAGCAAGTGGGATTTATCAACAAAAACAGTCCTGCTATCAATAATTAAATCCAGATGTCAGCTTAATGTTGCTTTTGTTGTTTTCTTTCATCCACAGACCGGAGGTAAGATTCAATTATGCATCACTTGTGACTTCATTTAGATAAGAACTGACATCAATATAGCACCAGACATGAAATCAAACTATGATCTCAATCCTGTACTTTATGCAGAGGAAATCAAAAATCTCGGCCTCTCGAAAGCTCATGCTGAAGGTATGTTGGGATCAGCATTTAAATCTATGGCATCTTCGGACAGACAAAGAAAAAAGAATTAACATTTGATTTGACTTTGGTGTGTTCTAGAGCTTGATGGCAGCCAGGGCTAAAGAGGAGCTGGAGCAAGAGCTGGTAGAAAAAGAGGAGGCGAAAGAAAAGTACCTTGAAGAAAAAACTCCTCCAATACAAACCAGCGGCATGTCGTTAGAAGAGCTGCGGGTACATTCAGATTTACTGCTGCTCTCTTATATACCACAAACTGAAAAGGTGTGATTCATTTACTAGGGTTCACTTCACTTTCTCCTCCCCCCATGTAGACATTGTGCGAAGAGCTGCATGCCAAACTAGATGTGGTAGATGAGGAGAGATATGATATTGAGGCCAAAGTCTTGCACAACACCAGAGAGGTAACACAGTAAATCATAATCATTAATATTATGAGCTGAAACGTTTTATGTGCGGCTTAGTGAGATTTCGATATTCATTCTCCCAAACAGATTAAAGACCTGAACATTAAGGTTGTTGACTTGAGAGGGAAGTTCAAGAGGCCCAACTTGAGGAGAGTGAGGGTCTCTGCCGACGCCATCCTGCGCTCCCTATTAGGTTCCAAACACAAAGTGTCGATGGATCTGCGAGCTAACCTCAAATCTGTCAAGAAGGAGGACGTAGAAAAGGTGGGATCAGGAAATCGAAAACATGGACACAATCAGGGATTTCTGTGTATCAACACTTAAGGCTCAAGGCCTTTACATAGGATGATACATAAAGTTTGAGACGGATTAGAAGGTGGACAGTGTTATCAAACCTTTTATTATACAGAAGATTTACTCTTTCATGTTCTTTTTACAGGAGAAGACAGTGGAGGTGAATGACTGGAGGAAGAATGTCGAGGCCATGTCAGGCATGGAGGGCCGCAAGAAGATGTTTGATGCAGCAAAAGGCCAGATCCAGTTATAGAGCAGGCAAACAACCTGCGTTCAGATTGCCTCGAAGAAAATTAATACTATTCACGTCTAATGGGGTCACAGAGAGTCACTTTTTATATTCAGTATGATTTTTTTCAAGTATGAATTTCTTGCAACACTCAGATGAAGAATTCTTTGCGTAATCTGTCTTGTCACCCTTTTTCTGTGTGTTTGAGTTTGATAAAAAAAAAAACTGATTTATGTCACTTTTTGCATGTAATTCTGAGTAAAACTGTCTTTATGCCACTGCTTGTTCAAGTTATTATCCTTTGACTTTTGGTAGACGTGCATCGATCCTGCTGACCCTTTATGGAAGGGTCAAGTCACACACACAACAGGAGCAGGAGGTCATCTGACTGGACACATTCATCTCATGTCTACTATTTTAGCAGTACATTTATGGAGAGTAGAAGGAAAATGATGAAATGAAAAATGATGAAAAGGGATGCAGCAAATGTTGTGCTGCGAGGAGTTGTGTTTATTCTGCAGCTGCAGGTACTTTACATGGAAGATGTGCAGCACACACCACATGGAACTTCAAACAACTGATGTATCTGGTGTCATAAACATTTATGTCGATGCAATAAAATTTATGAAAAAGTATAACTACATGACCAAGTTAATTCCAAAGGATGAAGTGCAGTGTCCACTTTCTTCTTTACTGAGAATCAATGTTGTTGGGAGGCCCAATTAAATCATTAATATTTCTGTTTTTATCAGTGAGACTTTTCTTTTGTGTTTCATTGAAGCAAATTCCTGACATTCATCTTGTACCATCATGGAGCAAAACTCTGGTTTTACTGACCTAAAACTACAGTATGTTGGTCTGTTCAGCATGTTTTTTTTCTGCCACAAGATGGCAGTTGAAGCTTCAATCAGACTTCTTCCACCAGGCTGATAAAGGCTCTAGTATGTGTTGTAAGTGTTGTTTCGGTATAACTTGATGCTGAACATCTGGAGCTTTCTGCTGGAAATTAGGTTGAGCTAAGAATCACAGTGTGGAAAAGTGTCCAGGACAGGGTGAAATTAGTTTGGTTCAAGAAGCCTTTTTCTATTGTCTGTCTTTGTTGGTTCAAAATGCCAGACAGGAAAGGGTGTGGTTTGCACCAATTCAATCTGGAGGAAAACTTTATTTAGTCAGAGGAAGGTAGCTTGAAGTCAAAGCCATCTGACTTCCTAACTCTTCCGAACATTCTATGATGTGTCTGACTCAGTGGATTAACACAAGCAAACATTTATCAATAGACATGTTTATTTTGATCGTTTTCTTATTTTTTCATTTTGTGAATGATCGGCGATGTAATAACCTTTAATTCCCTGTTTCATCGTGGAAATATGAGTTATTTATCAAAAAGCAGCTCTATTAAGAATGAGCAGTACAGCAAATGAAACAAAGAATATGGGTTTATTCAGCAAGCTTTTTTCTCTGATAATTTTCTATAATTTTGTCAACTACTTGATAAAAGAATTTATAATAACATAATAATCATTGATCAAGGGAAAGGGATCATTAGAAAATTACCAAATAACTTAATATTATGTAGAAGCAATAACCACAATAACTCAGTCAAAACCAAAAGTTAATGGTTTGAATGAAGGCTTTTTTTAAAGCAGTATGATTTATTTTTTTAAAATGAGAGTGTGTCGGGACCTTGTGCTGGACAGGGCCATGAAACCTCAGCTTCCCATGCTACAAAAGTACTTGTTTCTGACTTTGGTAAGAATTATGCACAAAGAATAGATCTGATAGAAACCCAACGTTTGCCTGTTGAATGCTGTAACCAAGCATTTGATTCAGATTGTTTCTATTCTGGTTGCACTTGCAGAACTGATTTATTATTGAAAATCAGTTACTTCTAAGTTAGTTCATGCTGATGAGACATTCATGCAAATTCTTCCTTTGGAGTGATTCATCCCAACAAGCCCAACTAAACCTCATTCGCGATTTGGCTGAGGAACATTTACAAAGTACAAATACTTGAGAACTGTCAATTTCCATGGAGACTTCTATGAACTTACTCTGATCAAATACACAAGATTAACTTTTACAAGACGTTAGACTTGTCTTGAACTTGAACATTTTGACTGTACAAAACCCAAATCAATGAAACAAAGATTTTGGGTGGAGCGAAACTCCCACTTAAACAGCCCCACAAGGAGATCAGATTTGGCTCCAACTCACAAAAGACAACTGTTGACTAAGTCCCGACTGTGGTGTCCAGTTCGTCACTACAGCTAACAGTGTTACTATCAAAAGGCTTGGCATGGTCATAAAGGGAGCAGCTTGTAACATGTTATTACATGCGATGGCAAAGTGAAGGTGCAAGAAGATGGAGCCAGTTTAGGGTGTGTGTTTTGAATGAGTCTCACCCTGGCAGCAAGCACATAGAATAACACTAGAAATGAAAGATGCCTAGTTAAGAGGTATAAAATACAATATCAGGATTAAGCATGTGTTTTCCTTGAGGCATTTGAGCGATACATTTATACATGCATGTGCAAACAGGAATAGATTGACAAGCATCAAACCTAACCTGCGTTGTGGTAGACCTGTGATAACGAAGCCTTTTGAGAGCAATAATCCTATTCCCTGCAGTTGAGGTTTCAAAAGGTAAAAATAGGCCTTGGAGCGCCATGGAAAACGCATGTTTTCCTATTCAAGTTAAAGCCATCGACCATCTGTTTGCAGGTATGTGCCCACCAATTGTAGACATGGGGAGTTCGCTGCCATGTGATCCACTGCTGGGTTTAAAAGCTTATGTCCCAAAGAGAGGGACACAGTGCACAATTCCCCACTGGCCAGAGCCCGAAGCGCGCATCATAAGTTCTGGGTAAGTCTGTGTGCCCTTAACGAGTCTGAATATATCAATATTTGTATTGCTTTTTTTGTGCTTTTTGTCAGACTGGACCAGTGGAACTATGGCAGGCTGTCTTAACTAAAGAATCACTCATTTTACTTCTTTATACGTGCAGGTACTGTGTCTCAAACATGTCAGACACGGAGGATGTTCAATACGAGTAAGTGTATATCTCAGAGGGAAGAGGCATGACCACAAAAAGTTATGCCAGCATTGATGGAATTATTACATCTATATGCCTTTTCTTCTTTCAGAGGACAAGGTATGAAAGCCAGCGTGGTGAACCCGAACGCACGAGTCAGCTAAGTGTTTGCAGTGTGTCACCGTGGAGTTGTTTGTTGTAAATTTGCAAAGTGTGCTGACCTCTGCTCTTTGCCTCCAGCGTTGGAGTCAATAACAGGGTGTTATTTGCTGGCCTGACACAAGCGATGAATCTATGAAAACAACGCAAAACCATAAGAGACTGTTGTTTATGCTCCCTGCTTAACACACTTGAGCCTCGCATTTGAAAAGTCTTAGTTGTAACGTGCTGGATCTAGTGAGCCTCTGGCTCCACCGCACAGATCGCTGTATTTTTGGCACGCCGGTGCCACAACAGAGGCAGCTGCCGTCCTCCAGCTTTTCTGCCCAGAGTGACCTTTGTGTCCCGTTCAGTCCTCTTTGAGGCTGCTTACCATCCCTGTGGATCTGTCCTTTCATTTGCAAATGATGCATCGGGTCGTCATGCGAGCGATAAAGAGTCATACCTCTATTTCGGTCCCCTTTCTGAGACTGTGTACCGCTTGCCTGATTGTGAAACGAAGCAGCACCTGTCTCCCCCTGTGTGGAATACAGTCACTGTTAGTGTGCAATGTAGGTCAGTGAGCCTTCTCAATAGTGGACCTTGGGGAAGATACGGGCATAGCACAATACGCACTTTCATTTTTATGCCCGTTGGAGATCCCACTGAAAGGAGGTTGACTTACATTCTTTCCAGCAGAAAGAGGTTGAATTTCCTTCTATGACCACAGGGACTATAAAGCCTGAAGTAATCTCTTCTTTTTTTTCTCCAACAGAGGTACAACAAGAAAAACAAAATACTCAGCATTTAAATGACTGACAAAAAAATCCTGGCGACTCATTGTAGATTTGAAAAAACGTCATTTAAAACCTGGAAAGGAGACAGATTTATTTGGAAAGAAAAATCTAATATTGCAAAACCATCACATGAATAAAGAAATGTCGAAAATGCACATACATGTTTGAGTCAAACACACGAGTTTGGCACTGTAACACTGACTGCTGTCATGCTTGCTTTGCACAGAAGAGGAAGTGGAAGAGGTAGTAGAGGAGGAGCAAGAAGAAGTGGACGGTAGAGTTACATATTCTGATAAGTTTGCATGACTCATGTTAGCAAACATAGCTTTGTTTTCAACCAAGGTGGAAACCTCCTTTATGAACGTTGTAACTTTAGGGTGTGCATGCGCTAGATAAGATAAACAGTGGTGCTAAGTAAAGTGTCATGAACTAAGAAAAAAAGGTTTGTATTTGTTGCTAATAGTGACTTTTTGCTCAGTTCTTAGTTAAAAAAAACTTGAAATTATTTATTTGATCTGATCATTTTAATGAAAATGTTGTTATTGGTGACTTATGCATAGTTTCAAATGGTCACAGATCACATACTCGGGGTTGGGGGGTGGGGATGTTTAAGTTATTTGTGATGATAATCTTAAACTGGTTCACCTGAGCTCTTAAGAAAATAAACCTTAATGTATATGTTTGCCTGTCCTGTCCGTCAGGAGATGGTTATTGATGACTGTCGTGGGGGAATTCTAACTTCATGACTGTCTAAAGTTATTTTAAATTATGAAAGTTACCAGGAAAGGACCAGATTTCCAAGCATGAAAGCTCCTTCAGGTTTTTTTTCTGACTGAATGTATACCCCTGATCTTTCAGCAGATCCTGCAGAAGAAAATGAAGGAGGTGAGGACAGGTCACTCACAAACAGACGCTTTGTGGGGTTTATTTATACATGGAAAATGTTTTCATCAAATAAGGATTTTGCTTTGTTTTTTTCTTCTTACCGGCACAGAGGATGCCAAGCCGAAGATGAAGTAAGAACGGAGTTTAAAAATATTTTCATTATACAACACAAATCAGCGTGGGAGACATGCTCAGGGCTAAAGGTTTTCCCTTCTCCCTCAGGAGTGGATTCGTGCCTGGCTTGGCACCACCAAAAATACCAGATGGAGAAAAAGTGGACTTTGATGTGAGTTAATCTCAGGGCTGCTCAAAGCTGCAGCTGTAAGCGTTTTTTTGGGGGGGTTGATAACTTTTCAGCTCATATTTAGCCACGATTAGTCCCTTCCTGCCTCTTGGACCGTTTAGATGTAACCATTTCTTCAAAAGCTATGAGATCTGCTGATCATCTAGATGCTTTTGATTGCTTTGACGTTCAACTTAAAACACAGTTCTGCTAATTGCCCCAAACTATGGAACTGCCCAATTAGGACCTCCCCATCTATTTAAAAAAAAAAGTTTTTTAGTTAAATTAAAACGCTCTTTTTTATCAAGACATACCTTTAAATTAGTTTGACTCAATCTCTCTGTCCACAATTTCAGGACATCCACAGGAAGCGTATGGAGAAGGACCTGAATGAGCTCAAGACACTGATTGAAGATCACTTTGAGAAGCGTAAGAAGGAGGAGGAAGAGCTCATCAGCCTCACCGATCGCATTGTATGTGAAGCACATGCATTTCTTGCAATATTTCCAAAACGATGCCTTTCAGTTGCATTTTGAGATTGAAAACTGTCAGCCTCAAGCCTGGAAATTCCCCTCTGTTATTTTCAGGAAAAACGCAGGTCTGAGAGAGCCGAGCAAGTCAAGATCAGAGCGGAGAGAGAAAGAGAAAGGCAAAACAAACTGGCTGTAAGTGAAAAGAGTTTGGAGGCCTCACAAGAGGTCTGGGAGCTGAGCCAATTTAAAGAGTAAAACCTGATCACTCGACTGCTAAATGACACTTAAAGCCAAATAAAAACACTATTGTTGCTATGATAGTAAAAGGTCATGTATTATTTCATTTATCAGGAAGAGAAAGCAAGAAAAGAGGATGAAGAAGCCAAGAAGAAAGCAAATGATGATGCAAGGAAGAAGATGATTCTATCCAACCTGACTTTCACGGGATACAAGGTAGCGTTAATTAGTCCAATAAAAAGTCATGCACAATCATAAGTTAAAATGGCAGAGACAATGTAACACATGCATAATAACATTTACCTTGAACGCTCTATGGTTTCCCGACAGACACAGACTGGACCAAAAAGGCAAACAGAAAGAGAAAAAAAGAGGAAGATCTTAAATGATCGCCGCAAGGAGTTAAATATTGATCACTTGAAAGAGGACAAACTGAGGTAGAAAAATATACTTGTGAATAAAAATGCTAATGCATTTTAAATACCCTTTACAATCACTTTAACATGTAAAACTCCAACATGCTGCTGATTTAATATTGTTTTCTGGACCCATACAGGGACAAAGCACAGGAACTGTGGGACTGGATGCGTCGGCTTGAAGCAGAGAAATTTGAATATCAGGATAAGTGTTCAAAGCAGAAATACGAGGTACAATGTGACGAAATTCCTTTTGCAGCGCTGCTAACATATCCACATCAGATACACAACATGTTTTATAAAGAAGCCCCAAAAAACACCTTTTTACCTTAAAAACTTATGAAAACTCTTTGCAATTAGCAGCATAAGTATAATCCCTTATCTTTTCACAGTTTATTTGTAAATGAGATTATTCCTTCTTCTTTGCTCAGATTACTGTGCTGAGGAATCGGGTCAGCGATCATCAAAAAATGTGAGTCTGTTTTATGATGTTTTAAGTGCATTATTGTGCTCATTTTAACGCATACCACAAAGGTAAACAAAAAAGGGGTCTAAATATTTGTTACTTTGTAAAATCTGATTAGACAACAGTACGAAATAGTCTGATTGAATAAAAGAAACCCAAGAAAAGGAAAAATAAAAGCTGTTTTTAGAAACCTTACTGCCATGCAGTGTCTCAGACGGGAATTACAAACAAAATGATCAGAACAAATGAGACCAACGCCAAACCCCCCCAGGCTCTGTCTTTTTTCTGTTTTCTTCTTAGCTTATCTGGTCATATGAAGCCGATAAAATTGTGAACTCTCTAATTTCCTCTACGGGAACAGGAATTTACCTAAAACAATTTAAATGCCAAATACAGTTGCAGAGACTGGCTTATTTGCATTATTAGACTTACATTGAGCACATATTAAAGGGGAGCGTGCCGGACATGATGGCCGTCTCCTTTGTGGGTTGTGTGCTGGTTCTAATGGAAGATTTCTAATGACTGGATTTTTGCTTTCAGAACAAAGGGTACCAGGAGCAAGCGGGGTCTTAGAAAGTGACATCTGCCATCAGATGGAGGAAAACTTTAATACATCAGTCATCTGTGAAGTATTTGACAAGAGATAATCAAAATCATGTTTTGTAAATATTGAGCATACAATTATATACAAATTATGTTGGAAAGATGATTCTCTCAAAAAAAGTCAAACATGCTCAGTTCATCTGCAGATGTGTAGAAAAATGCAAAGTAATTGAGTGGACAGTGTCTAATTAAACTAATCGTTTGTTTCCGATATGTACGATACCGCGATTACAATTAATTAAAAAAGGCTTTAAATCTGGAAATCAAATTTTTTCTGTCATTTATCAAATATATTCACTTGGTGAATGTTCCATTCACACCTAAATCCATTACTCATATCAGATTATATCAACTCTTGGTAGATACTCTGTGTAAAGATTAGATTTTTCGGATTGATTCTTATATTTTCATTGAACCTCACATCAAGTTTCATTTAAGTGATATGCCTCATGTAATGATGCCACAGGTACAACAATCTATCATCTTAACTACGAACACTTCATAACCGGTTAAGCGAGAAGCCTTCCAAATCTAATAAAATCAAAGCTGTGACTTGTCTTCCTTGGGTGAATTGTTTGTTTTGTACCACGTGAATACGATAAACAGAAAATGACTAGAGAGGGGAAGATTTCCCCAGAGGTGTTTTAAACTCTGCAGCCAAAATGTGAAGGCATGTGAGGAGATGTCAAAGGTTTGACTAATTACTCTGCACCAGCTACCTTGACAATTGACTGGTGATTGCCAAAACCTCTGAAGAATTTCAGTTTCGACAGTAGACTGTATAGGAGATCTGGGGGGAGATAGTTCAGTGGTAGAGCATTTGACTGCAGATAAACAGGTCCCCAGTTCAACTTTGGATAAAAGCGTCTGGTAAATGCATAAACATTGTTAATATTGTAGCTTTATTTCCACTGTCGTTTTTTTTTTTTTTTTACAGAGCACAACGGTAACACAGACTCACAACAAACAATTTAGCCACAGAATATAAAACACATCACTGCTTCAGACTATTTCGAATTTTTTTTATTTTACGCCAAAGTCCATATTACACAGTTGTAAAGCGGCAATAGAACATAGAATTTGTGTCAAAAAATGACGTCCTGTTTTGTTAATATGTTTTACTGAACATCAAAGATTAAATCAACATCAACTCTACGAAGGAACTCCAAATTGTCACTTCCAACTTTTGCTGTCAGATTTGAACCTTCACCTTTTTACTCCTACGATGAAAATACATCTTACAGCATGCAAACAAGGCCACAGAGAGATCATGTAATGATCACAAAATTCCGAAATTTATGCTTAAACATCTGAGAACATTTTGTGTAATAGCTTATCTCGGAATCTCTGCCTTGACGTGTCCACATCCTGTAGATATGCTGAAGCCGTGCTGGGAAGCGACCTCAGCGAAAGACTCGCGCCAAGTCGTCTGCTTTTAATCAACAACTTGGAGCGACTTGTGTGCTGCCATGGTGGTCTCATTGATGAATGAGGACTTGCTCATTCCTCGCTGTGGGGAGAAAAAAAGTTACATTTCACTCCGGAGGTTCTCCCTTTGCCATCACTGAAACTGAAAGTTCAACATTTCCACACTTAAATTTCCCACAGTAGCAAATAAAGTTGTGAACAAGGTGTGAGCGTGTGCTTGAAAGTGATTTAGTGTTTTGCAGGTGGAAACAAAGTCTGGCAGAGGCATCATCAGACCAGAAGCGTTGGATTCCTTGGCCTTATCGCCATCTATCCCGTTCACTTTTACTTTCCCGAGCGGGCTGACTAATCTGCAGTGTTTCCCACAAATACCTGCGAGAGGCGGAGTGTATTGTGTCTGACTGTGGACACACCCAAACCCTTACAGGCGTTGGCACTCAGGCTTAACCCTCGACTCACCTTTTTCATGAGGCTTTGTAAATCCTTTTCGGACCAGATTTTGTGGAGGAGAATGGCCGCAGCTTTGCTGGATTTGGGGAAATATCTGAAACGCGGGTGGAAAAAAAATGTCACTGAAGTCCAAACTAAGTGAGGGTGTGGAATTAACAAGCGCATCGAACATAACCTGAGATGAATCATACTTTAGACACAGTCTATCTCCACATGCATGTAAACTCACTTGTTTTGGCTGATGTCATTCAGAGATTGTATCAGCTTCTTGTTTAAAAGCATCTTGCTCGTCTCAGGCTCCTTCATGAGAAGGCAGCTAGTGGTCTGACAGGCCATAGCAAGGGTATCGTCTGACTCATTAGCTCCCTTAGTGCCGTCACGAAGTAGGCCAAGCAGCTCTGGGAGGGCTTTACGACCTGCAGAAACAAGACAAGAGAAAACGGACTAAAACAAGCACAAACTTGCAAAACACTTCTTGTCCGTTGAGGATAATAGATTGCAAGGCAATAGCCAAGAGGGTAGTTAGTAAAATTGCAACCCATATCATGGAACGGATCTCCTTATTTCACTCGAAGGACGCAAACTTCTTACCGATGGCACTGTGCAGGTTTGGGTTCTTCATCAAGTTTCCTACCAAAGCCATGGTGCTCCTCTGCAAGCTGACTTTGTCTGACTTCAAATGGGAGCTGATGATTTGCATGCCATTCAGTTTTTGCACGATCATCTGACTCATGACACTGGAGACCTGAGAAAAGAAAACCCCAGACGAGCTGTTTAACACGTGACTGAACATGAGAAAAGCAGAGTTAGTCTACAACATGGCCCAATCTCTCAAAAAAGTTTGGAAACTGGGTGAAATGTACATAACCACAGAAGGAAAACATCTGTGAATAGATTAAAACTCTGAAATACGTGCAGCGCAAACCCAGAATTTCAGATCTTCGAACTAAGACTCTTTGCAACGGTTTTCAGTTGTCCAACAGTTCTGGGAATCCTAACAAAAGGGCACTAAATGTTTCAATGTGTGGTTGCTCTGTCCTGCTGCTGGGGTATGTGCTGAATGCGGTTTGGTACTGTCAGTGTATTGTTCTGTATTCAGTTCCCATCAGACTTTTCCACTTAACCTCAGCTTGATCTGCTTTACTTAACTTATTTTGCAAAAAATGCTTGAACGTGCTTATGCAGGTGGAAAAAACGTCCTCAAACACAGTGGTTTTCAGATTCTTTGCAGTATAAATGTGTCTGTGTTTGATGTATTTTGTGTTTGATGCATCTGGGGGTCTGAAGGTTTTCCCACTCAGGAGTACTTAACTTTTTTTTATAGACAACCATGGTTTCTCACTCCATAGTGTGATGTTCCTTCACGTTCTTTGGATTTTTTTCCAGCCAGTCACTATCCCTATCCCAACATTTCTCAGTTTTTCTCAGCTTTTTATATTCTGTTTTTGTTTTATTTCAAAATACAATTAGGACGTCTAGGTATTAACAAACCGGTGGCTGTGTGGCAACATGACCAATCAAATCTTACAATGCCTTCATTTGCAGTGAGATTCTGCAATGTTCCACTGCAGGCTTCCTGTGTTGCTTCTTGTTGGCTCGAGCTGAGCAAAGAGAGGTAACTCTGCAGTGTTTTTGAGTGGATCAACCAGCCAATCCCAGTAGGGTGTGAATCCTCAACCACAGGGAAGTCGAAGCAACGCTGCGTGAAAAAAAGAAGCAGGTCATTCTCAACAACACTCTCCTAACTGTTTTACATTATTTGTCCTTATCCTTATTAAGTGTTTGCACACTATTATGTATAAAATAACCTCACACGAAAGCATCTTGGAGTATATGCATATTACACATATTTCAACTGGGCCTTTTTATCTTTGAATGTAGCTTTTGTTTTAAATTGATACAAAACAGTGTGTTACATAGCACCATCCTGCAAAAAGAAGCCCCATGTGCTTCATTCTGCATTTCCCAGCTGGGTGTGTCTATTCGGTGCTCAAGGATTTGGTGGCAAAGATTCAACAGAAAGTCAGCTCATAATTCTGTGTTTCAGGAATTAATGTACCTCCCACTGTAATCTGAATAGTCCCCATTGCCAGACACCCATTATGATAATGAAAATGAATGTTTGTGTAGAGACAAAGTGACAGGTAACTGGTTGGAGGCGTCGACAGGTATTTCAGGTAAGCTGTCAGAAGCATTCCCCTTAGGTGGATTAATCTCGCTCACCTCCTGCTCCAGAGGTTTGCTGTGGGAACTGAAGCAGCCGACAGGGCTGCTGTTGTTCTGACTGTTGCTCCTGTTCACTGTTTGGGCCAAAGCTGTGATCCTGCTGAACACATCGGGGGCCTCGGCCTCAAGCTGGAATGTCAGATTGTGTAGGATGCACACGCAGTTTTCAACAGACTGTGTCGACGGGTAGAAACAAACACACAGACAAACAGAGGAGCATATATCAGCGTCAGAGATTTGTAGCTTTTCATGGATTTATTTTTGAAGATGTTTGTCTTTAACTAACATAGACAAAAAGTCCAATTGGCTCTTTTATAAGATAAACTTTCGTAAGAACTCAATTTTTTCTTCTTTCTTACCATATCATCTTGTTTTCCTGCATCCACGCAATTTCTGATGTAGCCAACTAAAGAGTCAATCAAACCACGACATTTCCTCATGGTCTGTCTGCTGCTTTGTCGCGCACTACTGAGGTTTCTGTTCAGATCAAAACACATTGTGAATGTAAATGTTTCAATAAAGCAATTCAAATGTCGGAAAGTTTATGTAGATGGATGCTCATTTAAACCGGCTGTGACGTAAAAGTTTCCTGCAAATTCATGGAACAAAAATGACCCCAACCGAATCTCTAACAAAGACCTACTGTTAAATATTTCACGTTGCAGAATACTGTTTTCTGATGCAGTAGATAAAACGCAGTAGATAAAATCGCTGTTATCACACCCCTGTAATCGGTAACAACAACGTTAGTGTTTTACATTCGTAGTCACACCTTGAGAGCTCAAAGGGCTTACCGTATTAACTTCAGAAGTGGAAGTCTGTGACAAAACTCGTACTTTTTTCCTGGGCTGAATGGCCTCTGACTCAACTTTTACCCATCTTAGGGACAAATTAAGCACTAAATTCAGCATAATTATGGGCAGTTTAACAGCCCCTATAACTGAGCTGTGTCCTGAGAAATGGGTGACTAACGTAATCTTGATGTGACAATTTACAGTTTGAATGTCCTGAAGTAAAGATATTTGACCTACCAACACTATTATTTTCTCAAAATGATCAACTGTTATTTCATCTTGCTGCCAGTCCAGAGTCCTCTTCACTCCAATGACTTTTTTTTTTTGTCACAGGACATCAATCGTTTGTGAAAGATAAAATCCAACATAATTTTCTTTTTTATATTGAACTAAACTCACAACTTATTCACCTTACACATATGAAAATTTAAAAAATGAGTCAGCCGGCTTATCGCCAGCTGTCCACGAAACATGTTCACACGCTCCCGTACAATCACTGACACGATGACTAATTCAAATATGTCAAAAACCAACTCAACCAGTCAAGATTCCTCAATGTTTGGATTTGTTGTTTAAATCAAGCATAAATTTAGCTTTGGAAATTGAGTAACAAACAAAATCTTAGTATATTCTAAATCTGACAATCAGATAATTAAATATGAGCCGCTCAGTTTTTTGTTGTTTTGTTTTTGTTTGTTTCTTTTTATGCTTACCTAAGACATCCTGTGGCGTGATAAAAGACATCGGGGTCTTTGTCGTTGGCTGCGTCTGCACCTGTTGTGTAAGGCACTATCACACGCTCTGTTAAGACCGGCAAAGCAGTCTTCAGCAGGTCTGGCCTCACTTTGTCCAGAGAGGACAAATTCCACAGAAGACCTGGACAAAGACATTGACATGGATGGACATTAACACACAGCCTGGGGGGGGGGGGAAGACTTTTTAAAAATCTCTTTATTTGTTGTCTTTTTATCATTGTTTTTAATCAGAAGGACATCAGAACTATCCCTTTGCTGTTGAGTAGCTCTAAACTGCAAGTAGATTTTATACATGGTATTCAGGTTCATTCAAACCAGCACAGTTTAGACAATGTGCCTCAAAGGTCCATGTAAGTCCCCCAAAACGGGCAGGATTGTGTAACACTCCATACAAGTGGCTCTTTGTCTGACTCGGGGGATTGGTTAGCATGTTTCCGTATGTATGGAGTTTCACATCTTTACCCGTCAGTTGCTTGTGCAGCTCCACAGAGTCTGATTCTGTGAGCAGAGCCACGGCTTGGGTGATGCCGTCGCACCGCTGGATCTCCTCTTTGTTTCCATCACTCCTAAATGACAAGTTACGGAGGGCAGCGGTGGCTGCGTGGCTAACCTCTGAGGTCGAGTTTCGCAGTAGGCCCACCAGGGGGGGGATACCATTAAGCTTTAAGACCTGATGGAGAAAAGGGATTTAGGGTTAAGTTTACCGACTGAACATAAACACTCACTTAAATTCAAAATAAGACACTTATCATAAAAATATATTTTTCAAAAATGTTGATTTAATATCAAATGTGTGTCGTGGCAACAAATGCTGCACTTTTGTTGTGATATGGCTAAAAAAAATATGAATGAACAAAATATTAACCTTATAAAAAAACATAAAAAAGATTCCACGTTAAGGTTATAGCTGTAAACAACACTAAAAAATCCAACTCTACTTCCAAAATTATTTGATACAAATGCTTTTAATGTCAGGTTTTGTCACCTTTGAAGCAGTAGCCAAAGATTCCTGTCCTGGATTTATTTATTGCATGTTAATTCTTGTCACACTGACACGAATCGCACTTGAAATATCTGCTGATTGTCACTGATAAGCCGTATATCCTACCACAGTCTCAAACCCTGAGGGTTAAAGAGTAACTTTAACCCACACGTGTTTGATCATTTGGCACTAATAGATCCTAAAGCAAAATGACATGCAATGGGAGGCAGGGTAGCACTCTATCATCCTGTAGACATGCTAGTTGGTTTCATGATCTTTAAAGCAGATTTAATAGGAGAAGTATATCATTCAAAAAGAGGGAAAACAGAAACTATCTTTTTGATTGACGTGGTGCTGATAAAATGAATGATTCATCACATCACCAAAGAATAACCATAAGAAATGCTTCTCTCCACCATTTTGTCCGTACTGTCTCATGTAAAGGAGATTATAAGCAGCCAAACAGCTCCAAAACTGAATAGAACATAATCAGGCGATAAGTCACCTCCTCCTTTGTTTTGTCACTGATGAAAGAGTTGTGCTGAATAAAGGAAGCGCCACACAGCTGAAATTTTTCATCCCCTGTGGAAAGAAACTCCACGGCCTCCTTTAGAGTGATATCAGTGACTGCGCTGATCCCATTGGTCCTGTGCGTAAACAAATACTATTCAAAGTTTCTCATGCACAAAAAACTAGATTAAAAACACATGAGCTCCTTTCTCACTTACCCCGAGTTTCCTTTGCTTTTGGACTTGACGTCTGGGATGGAAGGCTTCGAGTAAGCTTTGCTCATGTTAGTTTGACTGCATATGAACTGTTTGCTTGTTTTGGTCTGACCATTTGAGTCATACGGAGGTTGAGGCTTTGAGGCTTGGTTCACTGCACTGCTTATGTACTGACTGGTGCTCCTTTGTGTTAGTTTGGTGCCCCCGACGGTGAAATTCCTCTGACTTGGGAAGGAACGTTTCGGCATGCCGAGGCGCCAGGCCAGATCAGGTTCGCTGCGGCTGCCGCTGGTTTGCCCCGCCACCACCGAGCTGACAGGGGCGTAGCTTCTGTCGTGGCGAGAGGCAGAAGTAAAGGTGTTTCTGACAGCCGTGGAGCCTTTAGCGCTGTTGACACTTTGGCGGGTGATGTTTTTACCCAGGCCGAGCTGCAGAGCCAAAGACAACACGACATTGCCATGATTATTAAAGCATCCTCACAAGAAAAATATTCCAGCAGTAACAAGAAAATTAGACTCATACGGAGGGAAAATGTGAAAGAATATGTCGGTGTTCAACCCTGTGATGCAAGGCCTGGCAATATTTTGTGCATGGCAATACAACACGTTTCTGTCAAGAGACAAAACTTCTGGCAGGATTAAAATCTATTAAACAACATAAGACTTTACACCCCAAAAAAGTGAATAGATCCAAACAAATATTACATGTTAATAACTGTAGCTATTAAAAAAAGATACATGAATGAAGCCATATAAAAGGAATAATGGCAACATTAACATAAATTGATATATTAAGAAACATTTTTATGACGAACGTTGTCTTTTCCAAAGTCTCTTCATAACTGAGGTGATTATTAAAGGAATATAAAGCTACTAAACAGTAACAACTGAGCAGAAAACATCTGTCAAACATGGTTCCATGTAGACAGAGGAGATGCAAGATGACTTTCACCAAAGAGTACAAGCCCAAATACACAAAAAACTGGGACACTGTATAATTTGTTAAAAAAACAAAACAAACAACACAACACAACATTTTACTCATACTAAAGCCTAAGCTTAAAAGAAAAACAGCAGACCAAGTCTAACAGTGGTTACAGATAATGAAATATAATGAAAGAAATATATCTAGTCAACAGGTGAGACCACATTAAAACTTTTAATATCTACATAAGAAGGGATATTTTTTTAGAAATAGGAGATCACCCATGCATATATCATACGTGAAACGCAGTGGTGAGTGTATCATGGCTCATGGTGCGCCAGCTTAAACAAGAATAAAGGAAACAATTAGGATATTTGTTTAATGAATCCTAAAACTGACACTCGAAGCAAAGATTCTGCCAAAGAAGAATCAAATAAGAATATATCCAAAGTAAAAACCACTGGATTGGCCAAATTAAAGTATCATAATAAATGTGATTAGGATCTGAAAGCTACGCGGGCTCCATCCGGTACCAAACGCACGTACTTCTGACAGATAAACAACATCATCATTTTCCAATGTTACCATTTTGGGTTTTTTATGTCATTTGTCAATTCAAGTTCTTTGTCCACTTCGAGGATTTTTTTTACTGAAGATCTAATCTAATTTTAAAAGAAAAAGTGTTTATGGAGAAATACAGAGTGTTCTGGTGGGTTTACAGATTTTATAGCATCATTGTGGCCATAACAATCACACCCAAAATTGAATTTAAAGATAAAGAACTGCTTCTCGCTGATGACTCACATCCCATCAAGCATGCAACCAAAAGCAAGCAAGGAAAAGATTGGTATATATCATAACTCACATGTTTAGAGGAGCCATTGCCCATGAAGACATTTCCATTAAATGTGCGAGAGTGTGTCTTCCCTCCATCTACAAACACGGAGTCGTACATAGGGCCTGAGGAAAAACATTAAGATTTATCAGTCGTTGTCCAATATACAGAAAACACCTGCTTTACAACCAGTGATTTATTGCCTTAGTCTGTGTAAAGAAAAGCATAGTTGTTTGATGTGCTTTCGGTGAATCTTATCTATGGTGTATTACATAAAACTCATAAAACAGTTTAAGCTGAATGTTAGCAACCCTTAGGCGGGAGCAGAAAAAGAAGTGCAAACTAAGGGTAGTATTTCATCTCACGCTTGAAGTTGTGAATCTCAAACTGTAGTCTTTAGCCGACAACAAGCACCTTTAAAGTTTAACTCTGATTTTAAACTAATAGACAAGGCAAACATTTAAATTAAGTGATTCAGCCCTGTCATTCAGATTTTATCATGTTAAATAATTTAATACACAGGTCCTTTTTTTTTTCTTTCTTTTCTTTTTAGTTTTTTTAGCACTAGTTTGTTCTAATTTATTGTCCCAGCTGAAAACTGATGAAAAATTTCCCCAGAAACCTTGAAAGATTGGATTTGATAATTAATATTGAAATATTGTCATAATGAACAAAGACTTTGCTGTTTTGCTGCCCTTTCTTTTTGTCATCCCCAACATGGAACTAAATTGTGTTTAAAGTCTCCTCAGTGTTGGTAAAAAATAGCATGGAGGTTATGTAACAGGCTGGCTAATGATTTACATACCCACACAAAATAAAACCATTAAAAAAATTAACAGCAAATTAGTAGAAAAGTAGATGAGTCAGCTAGCTAATAAACTACAATGTATGGAGGTTTGTGAAAGTAGAAGGTTGAAGTAGAAATAGCCATCATGTTATTCAACAGGTTGCTACAACCTCAATAATGATACATACAGGCATCTTTATAGACACAATTGTGGTTTTGGTTAATTAACTGACATTCATTTATTGTTTTTCCCTATCTTAAACGAACGTGCATTTACGTAAAACGTGTTTTTTTTTGTTACATCACTATTACAGTAACTATTTCATCGTTTATTTTATATTCTCACACACAATGTGGTCTTTGAATTTTAACTTTACAATAGCTGAGATCATAAAATGAAAATTGACTTGGAAATACTGTAAATCATGATGGAATGATTAACCTGACGAATACAGCTGCGTACTGTAAACGACCAGGTGACGCATATCAATAACTAATTGGCCCTGTCTGCCATATCCTTAAATTCAAAAAGCTCCTATTCACAACGACTGGTCACTTTTTCATCACTCCTTTCGTCCAGCCTGAAGTGCGTGTGGTAGTTTCTGGGCTCCTCTTACTTGTTGGGGATAAAGAAGCGGATCCACTGTGCTGGCTGCTGGACCGTCTGGACTTCCTCCGGACGGTCTGCACTTGCTCCCGGACGCGGTCGTACCCCGACCGGCACTGGTTGGCGGACGGCAGGGCCAGCGACGTGTCGTCCACGTTGCCGATGGACATGGCCGACTTCAGCGGCTCCAGGCTCGTCATTTTGCGGGTTGCTTGGCGGCTGGTCGGCGGAGGAAAGAAAAAAGAAGGTTTGGTGGGGAGGTCGGCGGCGGCACTTGTGTGAAGAAAAAAAAATACGCACCTTGCCCTGCCCCGCCCGGTCAGACCGCGCCCATTCAGACACAATGGAGCTCCGGGAGAGCTGGCAGATCCCGGTAGGCAGCCCGGACCTTTTCTCCCGTTCTGCAAGTCTGCTTTACGTGAACTTCTCCAAAGCAACAAACAGAGCCAAAGAACAAGAAAACTGTGTCTACTAGTTATTTGAAAAAGTAAAACATCCGGTCATCCAGACCTTTGGATGACGTGACTGTAAAGAAATAGAATAAATAGAATTATTGAATCACTTTAATTAACCTTCCCTTGTAAAGATATGCATAAAAATGACTCCATGTCTTGATGACCATGTGAGAAAACATACTATTCTCATCTAAAATGAATAAAAGAAAGTACCCAGTGAAAAAGAAACGATATAATAGTTTGCAGAACTACCTTTAGAGGTTTAAGTAATAGATATCTCCATTTGTTAGCAGTCACTCACACCTCTTCTGTACAGCTTTATATAACTTGTGGTTTGCAGAATTTGGTTCAGAAGTTCCCATCACTGAATTTTAGTCACTCTGCCCCCCAGATTTGGAACATGGCAACTCTTTTCTTTTTCTTTTCAGTCATTCTGTCAAAGATTGGACTGCGAGGTTCCCCTGCTCTGCAGAACAAGCCCACATCCTCAGCCCTCCACCAGTGTTCTTCATGTTGGTGTTGCATATTGGTTTAATCTGCCCTAAGGACAGATGTGTCTATTTCAGAGAGGACACGTTCCCCTGGCCATATTTGTTCAGTCTTTAATATTATAGATTGCTATAACTTCAGTATTCAAAATGCTGTCTGAAATTATGGACTTTGTTTTTGGTAAATAATGATATTAAGGGTCTGCATTCTCAAGTGTAAAATGGCAAGACACATTCTCTAGTTTTCCAAAAACATAAAACACTGAATTTTTAAACCTTTTTTTGGTGGGGTTTTTTTTTTGTTGCAGCTGAATAAGTTATTAATAACAACAGCTGTAAAAACAACATTAAAAAAATTGACAGAGGAAAAGATGTAGGAATTATCATGAAACTATACTACTACATAAACTATATTAAATACTGGGTTTGCTTATTTGAAAGGCTAAATGAAAGCAGTGACATGCCGATATCAACCTGTACAAAAACAGCAGGCAGTTTGGAAAACAGCAACTCACTGATAATTATTATATTTTCCCTCATTTAATCTAAAGTAGCAAGCAGGTGAAAGTATTTTTCTGAAAAAGAAAATGGTGGAACATATACCAGTAGTTAGGCTAGAGACTACTAATACATTTTTAGTACAACCTTTATTTATCATTTCTACTATCCAAAGAAGCTTTCATCCTTACTATGTTAATCAGTATGCTTGATTAAGCACAAAAAAGTATTCCAGTACATTTTCTAGGAGGTTATTAACTTTAGAAAAATTACAATGTCACAGGCATTTCTTGCTGAGAAGAACTTGATTTATATTAAGTTTTTTAAATGACTCATGAAGTCTGAAAGACCTGTTTAGTGTATGACTCCACCAGAATATTCACATAGACAAGGCTGAAAATGACACATTTGTCAGATGAGAAATTAATGCACTGTTCATGTGTCCACAAATGCGTGGGAAAACAGAGAGAAAAAGGTTTTATGTAACACACCCATGGGTGTCCTCTGGGTGTACATGCAGTAACTGGTAGGTCTGATCTAGCAGATTTAGTTTTTGATTGTCTCCTAGTCTCTAATAACCATGTAATAGCTGCTGCTGAGTTGAGAGTTTAGGTTGGCAATGCTTTCCCTGGGTCATTTGTCAGATGTGTAAGGATCGCCTCCTAGTGGCGGCTACTAGTGATGTTAAAATTCTCACCTGTATACAGAGCCACAGTAGTCCTGAAGCCTTTAAGGTCTTTATTATTGCTTCCATGATCGTTCTCATCACAGTTTTCAGTTGGAAAAAAACATTGGGTATCACCTGAAATTCTACATGAAAGTTAATCGAAATTAAGAACCACCAACTCACATGGTTTAAAGCAACATAAAACAAGTAATCACAACGCACACTGTACATACTGTATCATAAAGTCATTCATTTGGTAATCTATACTATAGATACATTCTATAAAGTTTTCAGAATTTTAAGATAAAAGGAGTGTAGATTGTCTTTTGATAATTGTCAGTGGAAAATGACATGCATGAGAACATGCACTTACATGCAAGTAAGATTTTTCACTTCCTCTTGAATAATTCACCAAGAGGTCTTAGCTTGTTTATGATGATCTTTGTGTCAACCTACTGACAGCCCAATATGTAAACCTTTTAAACGATGGAGTGTCTGAGTCTACTGCACAGGAGTCAGTAACACAACTTTCTGGTTGTGTTAAAGCACATTCAAATAATCAGAAGCACAAACACAGTGGACCCACGGTAAATCGGGGGGGTGGCCTCTCCAGGGTCAAAGCTGAGGCAAGAAATGAAAAACAAAAATGACTGGTCCCAGCAACACTACTGGAGAGTGGAATGAAAGGTGGACCTGAGGCTTAATGACACAACTGGTCACATTTCTGAACTTTAAGGGCAGAAGCAGTATTAAGCACATGACTCTGTACATGGAAGCATTACTGTCTCCAGCGGGTGCATAGAGTGAAAAGTGTGGATGATAAGACCCTACAGATGACTATAAAAAGGTATAAAAATGTCAAAGCGTGTGTCCTGCACTACTTTAAGAAACATATCTTAATTATAGCTTATGTTGAAGCATAAACCTAAATCAGACAAAAACACATAACATATTCAGGGGAGCAGACTCCTTCATAAGATTTAAAGTCCTAAAGCCGACTTCAAAGCCTTCCTTCTGTGAACCCACTTGGAAATCATTCCTCTGGATCCAAGGCACTGGGCCCACGGCCCTCAGGGGACATCCGCGGGGTGTTGTGAGGCTGGGCCACAGGAAAGCCCCTCAGCTTCTCTTGCAGACTACCTACGGCCAGCCTCATTTGGTCTTCAGTGCCCTGGAGAGACTTCACCTCCATCGTATAGAAGATATACAGCAGGAAGGTGGTCAGCAGGATGGCGAAGCACAGCGCGGCCAGCAGGTAGAAGGAAGTGCGCGGGAAGGGCTGTTCTGCTCCCAGAGCCAGCCAGGGCACGGCCGCGATGGCCAGCTCCAGGAACAACAGCGCCAGCCCCATCACCCCGGTGCGGGCGGCCGTGTAGCGCATCCTCTCCGCGCAGTGCAAGCCCACTTTCACCTCTGTACGGGCCTCGGTCAGAATGTCGACCAGCTCGGCCACCTTCCCTGAAGCCGGGGGGAGAGCGAGAGGACACAAAGAGCAAGTCAAAGATCAAAGTCAAAGGGCTGGGGATCTGTGGAGATCCAGGAGTCACTGCGTCAGCGTGCTAACTTATGGCTCTGATCATAGCCTGTACCGACATTGCCAAACACCGTCGTCTGCAAGAAATACCTGGAGCAGAGTCCTGAGTCTTTGACTGTCCATCACCTCCAGCCTCTGCTGGAGTGTGGGGCCTCAGCCTTAATTCAGAGGTGAGAGCCTCGTGATCGGAGTATGGAAACGGGTGTCCCGGAACAGAGCCTTTGGTGGTGGACATGACGCCACAGTTAATTTGAGTGCTGGATGACCCCTGTGATGACAAAAGATTAAATAAGATTCATGGGTCAAATTAAATAAAAACATTTTTTTAAAAATCTGAAAAGCTTTCACCCACCTTGAACAGGATGTAGTCAATTCGAATTCCCTTTTCAAAGGGGACCAGTTCCTTTTTACTTGTAAAAGGGTTTTCAGCTATCAGGGTCATGCCATCCTCACACCCCTGCAACAGAACAGACCTTTTTCATCTCAGGACATAAAAACACAAACATGACACAGAAAAAGTATCTTTTTGCAATGTCAGAACCTGGTTTTGAAATACCAAACCACAATGACACAGTTTAGTGCATTTAGAGAACACTGAAGAAGCAGATGTAACAGCATTTTTTAAATTAAGATTATGCTTCTTTTAAAGAACTTATTGGTCCTGGAGAAAGAATAAACTGATGACTTGTTTAAAGCCTGTCCAACCACTATCTTTCTCCATCAGTAATTTGGCAAAAAAACAAAAACAAAGAGTAATTGGTAAATTGTGACCATGGAAATATGTCTAAACATTTTTATTTGATCTCAAACTTTACTTTGTCAATACTCATACTGTTTGGCATTCATATTTCTACATACATCGAATTGAGTAGTCTCTAAATAGGAGTCTCGCAGTCCAGTGTAAGACAGAAGGAGTCTGTTGCCGAGGTCCTGAGGGTGCATGTTGAGATCACCGCCCAGAATAACCACATCTGCTCCAGGAGAGGTGTGACTGACAGCAAACACAGACAATTCATCATCACTGAGGCCAGCCAAAATGAAACCTCACTGCAATTAGTATGCGATTTCACTGTGATCGTATATGAAACACTAATAATTCTAGGTGCAAATTGGTGGGGATCACCACGAGAAAACAAAAGCACAAAGACACACAGGGGTTGAATACACAAAGGCACTACCGGATGAACTGCTGCAGCTCCCAGGCCTGGACCACTCGGTGAGGTAGGTAAGAGTCCTTCTCTCTGGAGTACTCTGCATGCAGCTATTACCAAAAACAAAAGAGCACCGCTGGATTAGTCCATGATATGATTATGATGAGAGACGTCTGAGAACTGCTGTGGTCTTACATGTGTGACGTAGACATTTGCAGTCAGGTCGCCCAGTTTTAAGACGGCCAACCCAACGGCTTTGCCTCCGAACCAGTCCCCATGGTGAGCCTAAACATGAAAGCACACATCAGGACCGAAGGAAAGATTAAAGTAAAGCTGTCCAACTGAAAATGTAAATACTTTTAGTCTGGTATTCAACTAACTGAAAAAATGAATTGCTGTCATCAATATAGATGAGCTGCATCCTTTCTGTCTGCAAACAACAGTGAAAGGTGTACAGCTTCTGACAGGAGGTCAGTATGAACAGGAAAAGCTGACAATGTGTATTTTGCTCTAAAAGCTCCCATGATGCTCTCTTAAGGCAGGAAAGCTTATACCATAACACCAAAACCCTAAAGGCCACGAGGCCTACAGTCGAATGTGGATGCCCCAGTCTGTGAGTACTGGAGATGAAATGATATGACTTTCTGCACATGCCACTGGACACAAAGGCCTAAAACAATTCTTCAACGCCGGAACAAAACACCATTATGAATGTCTGAAGAAGTGAATACTCACCATGTAAGGATAACCGTTCAGCGAGTAGCGATAAAGAAACGTGTCGAGAATTCTGTGTTTACAAAAAATCGCCAGCCCGCTTCCTATGACGCCGCTGAGAGAGAATAAGGGAGAAAAAAAGTATGTTAGAAGCAAAATCTTTACAAAAAAACATACTGAACATCAAAACTGCATGGCACTAGTCTTACAATTGTAGGGGAGGAGAAAACAGACATATTGAATTTGACATTTGTGCGATTTTTAGAGGAGAGTCTGATTAACTGCAGCCTTGGTATGAAGGTCAAGAAAGAATTAAGGAGCAAGAAATAATCCCTATGAAGTTTCTTTGCTGCAGTCACATTATGCACAAAAATCAGTGCCTGGCAGGTACGCTTTACTGACCCTCAGACAGAACTGGCCTTTGAAGATATAAAAAGTTCAGACAAAGAGAGATTCAGAGTTCACAAGTTGAAAATGTGATTGAGTTTGAAAAGCAGAGATGTCACCTTTTAAAGTGATGCGAGTGGGGATGACTAGATGCCAGCTTCTTTTTCAAATATAGGTAGTCCTTCTCACTCCACACCTGACAAATTATTTAGATTGCAGTTAAAACAATATTAAACTATATTTTTATGATTAAATATCAATGCATTACACAGCATGTCACAAGCCTGCTCTTATCTGCAGAGCGCACAGATACTGTAAATCTGATAAGTGACTATGTGGCTTCCACAAACCTCTTGCAGCAAAACTATATCATGCTCCTCCTTGCACAACATTTCTCCAATCATGTGATAGCGCTGAGGACAGTGTTTGCTTAGATAGCGGATCCCCCTGAGAAATGAGACAAAGTACAGGCAGTGAAATGCTTTTTTTGGCATACCTGTATGTGTATTGAGATATGAAGCGACACGTAAAGAATTTCTACAAAACACAGGCACTGACCAGCAGTTGAGGGAGAAGACTCGCACACTGACACAATCTGTGCTAGCCATGCTGCCCGATGAGTGGACCACTGGAAGGGACGATGGAGTTTCAGATCAGACGAGGGCGACTGTAACAGTTATAGTCATGCTATAGTTTGAATTCATGTTTGAGATAATAAAATATACAAAAATATATAAAAAATATGAACCAAATAAGATCTTCAAGAGAACATGATTTGAAATGCTCACATTCATACATAAATTCATTAATTGAGAAAAATAGAGAGTGAGAACATAGGGACACAAATTGTAAAGGGAGAACGCTGAAGAACACTAAACATAGTACAGTAACAAAATAGACTGTAGACAGACAGTTTCAGTTTTTTTTGCAATTGTTTGGGTGTTTTTTTAAGTAAAAACTCAGCAGAATTTGCTCTTGCTGATAACATTGTAAAAATACTTTCAAGAAGTCATTATTCTTCAAGGGATCATTTAGTGTCAATTAGGAGCAATAATCTGCCAAAGCGAATAGACTTTAAGGTATATTTTTACAGTTTTTACATTTTTACATGCTATATGAAGCATTTGATATTCTGTGGAGTTTGCAAAATGTGGAAGCAAAGACACATTTTTGGTTTTAATCATGTAAGGCAGCCAACCCGGGCAGGCCTCCAAAAGTCATCAACTTTTGCTTTGTTGTTTTTTTCAAGGTAATGAGCCATTCGGGCTCATTTCTTTCCTCCCAGGGGTACAACAAAACACAGGTCCCAAACAGACTGCTGACATAGCTTTAGTCTGTTTGGAGAGAAAATGGGGAAGCTGTGATGTCGTGAAAAGAATCACAGGGTCAAAGGCAACAGTGCTTTTGCATGTGTCTGTACATTTAAATTTGCAGCTGGATAAAATAAACAGGGACTTTGCCGTTTAAAGAACCATAACCCAAAGGTGTAAAATTAGTCTTAGCAGTGCATACAAAATGTGGTAAAGGATTTAACTCGGGCACAAAGATGTGTAGCAGCAAAATAACACAGTCAGACAACAGACATTTAATTTGAAGGTGTAATTTTAACTTTTATGAAACAAACTTCAGCTAGCATAATTTTTATGTAATTTAAACCCAGATTAAGTGACAACATTTTCACAGAAACGTTAAGTGTATAGGGATATATAACACCAAGTGTTTTTACCAAATAGTTTTCATACTATTATTTTTTTATTTATATTTTATTTGTGTGCGTTTGTGACTACCTGAGGAAGCACAACTTTGACACTAATATAATTAACAACACAAGTCAATTACTTTAGGATATTTGAGACCTTGTATATATGTATAATGTTGTACCACCGTTTAGTAAATCAACATTAAAAAATACAGCAGAAAATAATAAAAAAACATAAACATGTTAAGACACGGAATCTGAAGGGCAACATTTTAGTGCTACTCCCGTATTTTAGGAATAGGGAGACGAGGAACATTGCCATTAAATTGTATTCTAGAGGATAAAGTTTTATCTAATAGCTAACAGCCTCCTGAATTATTAATGCAATTTTCGATCAAATCGTTCAAAATGAGCGAGGGTTGACATATCAATTTAGATGTTAATCGCTGACAGGTGACACTGGATGTCTTTTTAGTTATTTGTTGACCTGAAGTCAGTTAATTCATTAAAAGAACTCACCGTAAGAGCCTCAGGAAGTTAGCTGAAGTAAACAGGACGGCCGACGTAGTTACAGCAATGTGTTTATTCAAGTTACGGCTTTTGACCCAAGATGATTCCAGTTAGCTTGCTAACTCACTGTCACCCCTGAGCCTCGTTATTATTCGTCGAGGAAACACAAAACTGTAGTCAGCATCTCAGGTAACCTACACGGATATAGCGGCATTCAAACGTTTCCATTGCTACGTGCCTTTTACGCCGGCGTGAAGTCAGCTGGTATAAAATAATACAAATGGCCACCGGTTTGTGTTTTACTTCACGAAATAAAACCGGAACTCTGACTTGAATTTCAGTCAGTGGACAGCTTTAGTGCAGTTGCAGCAGATTATAATAATGATGTGTTGTCACAGGACATGTGTTTGTTAAAAACTGGTTATAATTTTAAAAAAAATCTTTAAGCGATTTTTCTGACTGATTTCCGGCCTCTGTCGCCCCGATTACAAAGGACTCTGGGAGATGAAGTTCTTTATGCAAACGCTTTAGTGAAGAGCACGCACAGTTAAGGGTCTGCAGTGGAAGGGGTGCTCAAATTATTATGCTGGGTAAAGTTTAAAAAATTCATTAAAAAAAAAAGACGAAGAATTAGTTTCAAAATGTGAAATTCTAAAGCAATTGTAATCAGAAGAAAACAAGTTTTGGAGTGTCCCTAAGAAATGCAGTCTATTATGTCCTCTTTGAAATGAAGGCCAGACCAATATGCAACCATCACTTTTCAACGCTTTTTTGTGGTTCTCATTCTGGCATGTAGTTTGATCCTTTACCAAGATATTTGCACAATTTAAGACAAAACATTTTTTTTTTTCTTATGCATCTATGAAAATGTGCTCTCGGAACAATCTTTGATTATCCATATTTTTAGAACAAGGTCTGAGCCTAAACTCTTTCAATGTTGTGCCTCACGGTCTACAGTTTAGGCAGATGTAATCTGAACTATCTTTTGTAGCATGACACACTTCCACAAACATGCTGTAAAGATTGGATGCTGTCCGAACTTTTTTCATGGGACAGTGTACTTCGACCTCTAAATATTTTAATTATTCAAATAAAACTGCAATAGATTTGGAGTTGTTTAATGTGGCCATTGAAAGCTGCTGGCTTTAAACTAAATGTGTGTTTTCAAAAATGGCCAGTGTGGTGTAAATTAGTTGACAAACTTAATAGGATTACAGATTTGTTTTAAATGCCTGCAAATTAAAAGGTCAGGTTGAAAGATGATGGGTAAACATATATTACTTGCATAAAAAACAATCCTATACTAACATGTCTGCTTTGTCTTCTTCCAAATGCTTCTTTCTCTTTATGATCTTCACCAGAACACTCAAACTGATACCTTAATGTAAAGTGCAACTTATAAGTAATATACCATATTGTGAAAATAATATTAAAAGAAGAGTCATGGACAAAACAAATTAACAAACATGTTTAATGAGTTTTTTGGGGGAAGTGGCCCCAAAGGCACCATGCGTCTTGTATTGTTAGATACATTTTTTGATTACATAGATCAACCTCTACTTTAAAGTATAAAATTGCAATGCACAATGGTAACAAAGACAATAATAAACCACCATAAACAAAACAAAAAAAGAGGAAGAACAGCCCACACCATTCAGAATATGATACATTAGATATCTCATTATTAATCATCAATACCAGTACAATCACACATTATTTTCAGTGAAGCATATGGCAACCACCGAAAGTCAAAAGACAACAAAATCAAATCAAAACATTAATCTTGATAATGGCAGAAAATGTTTGTATAAAAGATAAACTTGGAGACCTGCAAGAGGAGGAGTGTTATTGTGTCTAGCTTGTGAAATATGACATTCAAAGCCAGGTGCAATTACGTCACCGAAATATCTTAAATTTGCACTTTCATTGCAAATTTGTCCAGTGAACCACATAGAGTAGACACTTGTCCAGTAGGACCTGTGGCCTGACAGTTACGCCTGTCTCTAATACAGGTACTGCAATACTTTTTCATCTCCAACACAATGGAAAATAATCAACATATCTCCAGAGCCCCAGCCTACCCTCCCACTATTTCTTTTCCAACCCTATAAATAACAATCAATGGTCATAATCCACAGAGACAATGGCTCTCATTCAAGACAATTATTTAGACTGATTTCAAAATAAGTTTGTATGTAAAAATTGTCTTAAATATAAAAACCTAACTTTTATGAATGAATGCAGCTTCTCCACACACTACACAGAGAAGACAAGTGAAGCAAATGAACCAACTTCACAGCATACAATCTCTTTTTTTAAACAAAAGAAACAGTGATTAACTCCCCCCCCCCCCCTACACCATGGTCTCTGTGCTGTGTTACTGTATCACAAATATGAACAAGAGCGCCCACCCCACCCTCCCCCCCCAAAAAATACTCCTATGTAACACATATTCCTTTAGTATCCACTGACTCACAGTACAGAAACAATTATTGTTTTCAATTAAGCTACATACCTCAAGGCAGAAAATAAGCACTGTTGTTGTTACAAACCCCCATCTTGAGCTCCATAAGTGCATTCAAGCACATGACTTCAAACAGAAAGTAATAACAATGGGTCTCCGTAAGGAAGGCAAAGCCCTGGCTTCATGTCACAAAAGACATCTCGAGTGTCAAAAGTCCATTACTGATAGATGCTTGTAAGACCTGATTTTTAATTGTGGAGTAAATATAAAAAGCAGAACCTTAATAACACAGCAATACAATTCATCTCCCCCCGTACAATTGGACTGTAAAACATGGGACATTTCTTCGACTTTTTTTTTCTTTTTAGGACAACAGGCTATGTGAAAATGAATAATCCCACTTTTCCTCCAGAGACATCGATCTGATTTTTTTTTTTGTAACAAAACACACCTGGATGACTATTTTCTGTTAATTCAAAAACAAGAGGTAGTAAAAAGGCAATCCAAAGTGGCAGGCAATGATATAACCTTTGGCGAGAAGGCACTTGCTTTACTAACAAACATACCACTTCCTTCTGGTTCCACCCCTTTCCGTGGTCCTGTTCTCTCCACTCAATCCAACATATACTTCTCCAGCTCAGAGCATGTTCCCGCGGTTACGAAATCTTTTCAACCCCAAACACATTCTCATTCCCTCAAGAAAACATTTCCAGCTCTATCAATTACATTGGCAAAAGTCACCCACTTCACCTCAATCGTGTTTAAGCACTTGGAAAATAGCTGGTTGTCCGCAGTTCTTCAAATTTCTTTGAATGCTGGCAGGTCAACACTTTTTTTCCTTGCGTGCTTTCTCTAAAGCATAAATGTGTCCATGTTAGGTCGGTCTAGTGTTTTTTTAATGTTTTTTTTTTATTGAAGTTTTCTTCCAGGAGCTGGTCAAAGAGAGATTGTGTCACGCTTTTGTCTGGCTTTCCCAGAACTCCCCTGAAGAGCTGTTAGTCTTTAACAAGTCTGTAGACGTGATACTGAGCTCCATGTTCACTATTGGAAACTTCAAAAACAAATGCTATACAAAGCAAAGTCTCCTGTGTGTCACGGTTTGTCACCACCTGAGGAGAAAGACGACAGGGATGAGGCAGTTAGATCGATAGATATGCACATTTAATCATTTTTCTAAGCAGCTAAGCAAAAAACAGTGTTGCAGCTTATCATTGATGGAGTTACTGTACAGACAACGCTATTGCTTAATTTCTCTTTCAGTTTTCTGTAAATAAATTATCATATTTTCACACCACCGCTCTGTGTCAGTGCTGTCGAGCTGAATGTGATAGACATGTGTATTCAAGTCCAACTTTTGTTATTTCTTTCCAATAATCAGTTTTTATTGTGGAAAGTGATATGCAAATGTTAAAGTAAACTATGACCTTCTTTCCATTTAACATACATATAAAAGTGACTCTAATTAAGTCTCAGGCCATTATAGATTTTCATGTACGCAGGTCCTGGATCTTTTAAAATGTAAAAAAGCAATAAATAACACATATCTGGCCTACTGGAGATCATCATGTCCCTGTGTATGGAAGCAAAAAAACAACAAAAAACATCTCTCATTTTGTTCCTCTAAAAATCAGTAATAACTAACTGTAAGATTTACCTGTAGGATTGTAAAGTTTTCAAGAACACTGTTCATCATGTATTTTTCAGGCAAGTGTTTGAGCTTGTGGATAAAGTTGATCATGTACTCGCACATTGGGGAGCGGTGGATTCTGTAAACACACTTTCCTCCTTCCAGACGGGCGTACTCTGTCTGCAACACATTCAGGAATGGCGAAAAAAAAAACACAACACTCAGCAATCAGCTTAAAATGGATGCGATTGCGAGTATCAGCTGTGTGAAAGACATTTAATTAATTAAAAAAAAGGTAAATAGCACATCCTCACCTCCACTTTCTCAACAACCTGCTTGCCAAAAGAGCAAACTTTGGTTGAAACAGTGATCGTCATGTTCTCGGCGCTGCTGTACTGGCTGCTGACACCGTAGAAGGAACCTGGGCCATCCGGCATTCCGCTGCTATTCAGGTCAGCCTGTGCAGAGCACACATTTCATCATTACGACCCGAAAATTCTGCAGACTACAACCAAAGCTCTTAAACGGCTCTTGAGTAATGAGTATAGTAATTTTGCTGCTTTTTAGTCAAATCCTGGAAAGCATTTGGAGACAATATGTGTGAGGCAGAAAGAAAAGTAGCGTGGCACGATGAAGCAACATAAAAGAGCAAGCAGTTTGGATTAGATGCTTTGCTAGAAAGGATATACAAGAAAAGCACCAAAAAAACAGAATAAAGAAAAGAGAAGAACTTACCCAGAACTTCACCAAAAAGAAAGCATTCTGGGGGCCTTTCTCATAAAGCTCTTTGAGCCCGCCCTTCTTCTCAGGGAACTTGTCGTAGATCTGCCGGATATCCACAGCTTCCAGAAGCGGGTCGCTGTAGGATGGATTGCTCTGTCCGATGTGGACGAACAGGTGTTTGCTGTACTATAGGGGACAGAGATGCATAAGACAAGGATGTCAATCAAAAACCCAACTTACAACACAATAACTATGTTTGAGCCACTGGACAGAAGAAACAAAACAGCTGTTTATCATAGCAGGGCGAAGCAGATGTGCCTTAAAATGCTGTACCTCTGAGGACCACTTAGGGCTTGCTTAAATACACTAATAGAATATCAACTTCTCAACACGGTCAATCAAAATCTCATTGCCTGATTTAACTTCTCATGGTCTATCTTCCTGAGTAAACTTTGAAAATGATCATTTGCTTATCTTAAAAGTGTCAATCTTCAGCCAAATCATCTTCTCTAAGGATGTACAAATTGGACTTTAGTAAAATTCAACTGCTCAAAGGCTCTGACGCTTTGTATTCAAAACAACTTGAGTGGAATTTACACCACCTTAACAATCCAAAAGGGTTCAAACGTGTTGGCCAGCAAATGCTGAGCGTCCTCTTGTGACTAATAAACTACAAATGCTGGCAACCACGTTTTAGACTTTAACTTACACTGTCTTGGTCTCTGGGGACCTCCATAAAGGCTGAGTACTCCAGCATCCGCAGCTTGGAGGAAGCAATCGTTCGATCCTGCCACACCGGGACCGCAGTAGCTGTTGGTGCAGGAGGGGGCGCCAAGGGCTCATAAGCTATACCCGCAAACACATGAGCCTTAATACAAAAAACAATCTGTTTTCCATTTTTTAAGCACTCTCAATGACTGTCCTGGGAATGTACCTGGTATGGGTTGCTGTACAGGTCCTGGTAGACTTTGGTATGCGGGCTGCACAAAAGGTTTGATGCTGAAGGGCAAAATAAAAACAATCCAGTCAGGGACAGACCTTGGTTGTCACATCCTCATTTCGTAGGGGTCCTCATTCGTTTGCATCTTTGGTCTTTACCAGGCAGATTTGGAATTGTTAGAAGTAAAAGCATGTTTTGCTGCACCAGCTAGGCGTAAGTCCACCTGCTTCTCAACGATTAAACACAGCACCACCTCTGTGCTTTGTCGGACAAATCAATTCAAGCGGACCTGGTACTTCTTCAGGTCGCCGAACACAAAAGGACTGATTTGATCTGTGTTTTTCTTGATCAGATCTGAAGCAGTCAATGTGTGGTGCAGGAAACATACAGTGCAGTACAATGTAGAGGAGGAGTTAGTGCTACTTTGTGCTCACAGCTGGACCTGGGCTAGGGGGAACTTACGCATGGCTGGTGCGGCTGAGCCCAGGAGTCCTTCCCGGGTTGAAATCTAGAACCATCCTAGTGTTGAAAAACGTGAAAATTAAATGCACCCTGCAATACCCACCTGACAGAAAAGCCTAAAGTGTTGACTGATTCACTCATTCATTCCTGTATCTATCTATTCGTCTCCTGGACCACGTTCTCTGTTCACAAACCGCACACAACCTGATTTCATGCCAAAAAGACTCGGTGGGTTCTGAGGACGTGTTTACTTACTCCTGAGAGGGCCCAGGCTGTACTGGGATTGGAGCAGGCCAGAACTGGAAAGTAAGAAATAAGGTCAGTAGCATTCACAGTTTCATCAAGTTTTTCTGACTTCAAATCTGGCTTCATTTGCTGTGAGTGCTTGAGAAATCAATGGAGGTCTCACTCTGGCCGGCTGGTACGGGGCAGGTGAAAGTGGTGGAAGGTGATTCTTTATCATGCTCGGGGAGACGATCTGTGCAGATGAAAGTGCCGCCATGTTCTGCAGGGCTTTGTCTTTAGATGCCTGATCCTACAGTTTTAGAAAGAGATTTTAGGGCCGTTAACCACAAGATGGCAGCATGACCTAACCAAAACGAAGCGTGCACTGTGCTTATCAAATGTCTAAGATGAACATACTTAAGCATGAAAATAAGCTTCACGTCGACTGATCTGAGCAGTCAGTCTGTTGCTCTGTTATTCTACATTTGTTTGAAAGAGCAGCTTTTAGCATAAAGAGAAGAAGAGGGGAGAGAAAAGGAAGCAGCATGTTTCCCAAAAAAATAGAGGTCAGTATGTTAAAAAGATTACAAAAAAAGTGATTCAAGTTGTATGATTTAAAATTCAACAGAAAACGTCAACTTTTGCTGTTTAATCACTGAATCCATTACACATAATGTCAGCCAATTCGCATTCAGATCACATGGAGACGCTTGACAAAATTACACTTCTCAATGCACTAACTTCTGCTAAAAAGTTATTATTCTCCTGTCTTTCATTTGTGTCTACTTTATTTGTTCTTTAACTTAAAAAAAAATCTCTGGTTTTGCTATTGAAGGAAGATGCATCAGAAGCGAGACCCCGTGTCAGAGAGCGCCACCTTATGCAAAGCAAGCAAGATTTTTCCTTTAGGCAGAGGATGGGGGTTGTGTGGGATGGGGCGGGGGGGCGTTATGCTACATCAGGCAGGTTGTGCAGCAGCGCAGTGTTCTAAGCCGTTTCCGAAGAGTTGCTTCATTACGGAATAGCGATGGGATGTGACGCCATGCCAGCAGACGGCCATAGCAAGGGGACAGTGCACTAGTGCTGCCAAACAAAAATGGGAGGAGGGAAGCATATTGCACAAGTCAAATTCACTTACCAAATTCATTGCCTGAATCAAAAAAGAGAGAAACCATTAGTACTATGCAGTTCTAAATCATGTTGTGAGATAAATATGCTTCGAATAAATAAACTTCACAAGTGGGCACTATGCGGATTAACTACAGTAAATAGTTCAAACACACCTTAAATGGCAGTTTGTTTTTGTCTACCAGTTTTGCGCTTTACTGGGTATAAGGGGAAACAAGAGGCAGTTCTTTTTTTTCTAAATGGACACTGGTAAGATGTTCACACGGCTAAATAATCTTTGCTCAGTAAAAATAAAAAAATGAATGGAATAGAAATCTAAAGGAAGTCCAATCTTTAGAGGATTATTACAGCACAATACTTCAGAGTATTACATCACACAGTATCCATGTCAGCTGTGATATTTGATCCCTGACTGGGAATTTAAGGCAAGAAAACACATTTTTATTTGCTAAAGGTTTGGTAAACTCTTTAGCAGTAGGGTGTCAGTAGTGGCTACACCAGCGTATTCACCTCACTGGGTTTTTGTCAGTAAATAAAAGGTACATAAACAAGGAAAAAGCCCACAAGTGTTGCCAACAAAAACTAAGTGACAGATCTGTCCAACAAAAAATTAACTAAAGCATTACAAACATAAATTACTCTACTGAATTAACTGTTAAGTGTTAAAGAAGAAGGTTAACCCGAAAGAACTGTGACTAGAACTCAGCTCATCAGCATGAAATGAAGCTGAAAAATATTCCAGTTCAGTAAGTTATGCTAGTTTTTAAACAGCAAGGAAGACAGGTTTATAGTCCAAACAGAAAGAAAAATCATGACACATCTTTTTGCTTATCGAGCGTCATTCTAGGATATTTTTTCATGTTCAAGAGTATTCTAAAGATTGCTAATGCTGCTATGGTTGAAGGAGGAGGTTTATACAGAGAGGGATGTTAATACTTTGTGTTTAAGTTAACCACAAAGTTAGCTAATTTGATGTAAGGATACGGATGAATCCATTCCCTTTTAAGTTTAAAGTTGAGCCACTGCGCAACACACTGCACTAATACAGCATGGATTCAAGTTAATCTAAAATGTGACCATCATGGACAGTGCTCTCCCCAACAAAATTAGTCCGAAAGAGGTTAATCTAAGCTGAGTATAGCATCACTGAATGCACTAACTGTGGTATTAATCAGTCTCTGCATTAATGATGTATTTGTGAAAATGCAAAAAATGATGCACAAAAAGTTTAGAGGGATTTTCTTTTTAACAAGACATGTAAAAAAGAATGTGATGTATCATTAAAAGATTAATTTTTACATTGAGTTTTACAGAGGACATTACATAACAGATATACAATAAAGAAGCTAATAAGAAATCAAAGTAAAGACAGTTTTAGGAGAGGAGGCCAGAAGTGCCAGAAGAGTGCAGTGTGCTGCAGAGGCCTGGCCGGCACAGAGGACAGAAACTGGAGCTGGAGCAACATGCAGCTACAATGAACTTTGGAACTACGATAGCAGTTTGCATCGCCTTCATGTAAAACAATCACCACGGAAACAGATATCATACTTTCGTTTTTGGGGATTAGACTTCATTTCAGTGGCGCTCAGACCCCTGGAGTGCGAGTTAAAAAGCCCTGTTGGTTGTTTGCGCTGCATGCACGGAAGCGGGATTGTGACACTGTTCTTCAAAGAGTGATCAAGCATTGCTCTCTGCGTCGAAAGCAGGCATCTGCTCTTTATAGTGGGAGCAACTTTCACACCAAATCACGGACTGATAATCGAATTGATAAATTAGCAGGTTAGTGCAAAGCCAAGCCTGTACGAGCCCCGCCGAGGCCGCGGTGAAGCGCATACCTTTAGCTTTGACTGGATCTCGCGAGATTTTCTCCGGGCGAGAACCTGCAAGTGGCTAGAAACCTGCACAGGAGAATAGCCAAGAGGAGGGAAGAGGAAAGGAGACAGGGAGAAAGAAGACAAGAAAAGAAAGGGGAGAAGCCGTAACCAAAGAGGAAAGAGACGCCCAGTCAGTGTTGCCGGGAGACCGGCGGGACCTACCTTTATACCCGCCTGGTATTCACGAACTTTCTTCCGTGCTAACACCTGTATGTGACTAGACACCTAAAGGGGTGTGAAACAGTTTTTGAGCATCGAAATAAGACGACATAACATGAAACTTTTTTATCTTGGTAGTCACCTCACCTTTAATGCTCTGCTTAATGCTAATGACCTGCTGAAATCTCAACTTGATTAGAACTAAAGTGTTCATCTGTACTCATCTGCTCATTTGACCACTAACACTGGCAATTTGTTGCGTCTTCCTCTTGGGTTCCAGGTCTAACTATTTAAATTTTTACTCTGGATGACAAGACAAGCATAAATAAGGCCACTATCACGAAAACAGAAGCGGTCATGGTGCCCATATGAGTAAAAGCTGCAAACAGAAGGCTGCCACATGAGAGAAACACCACCCAGGTGTTTAAGCTCCGAGACCCAACATGACAAAAAGTACTACATGCTGACAGCAGAAAAATGTTAACCGAAGCCCCATTCAGTTTAGACACACCACGTCTGTTATTCCAGATGAAAATAACGATTCCATTTGGTAAACAATTCCCTGAAGGAAAGACATATAAATCACTCCTATAGATGGAATTTCATTTCTATTTACACTGACGTAAATATAATACAATGAATGCATGCTGTAATTGAGATGCTATTTTATATACTACACTATTATGTGCTAAAGAATAAAATAAACCAAATAAATAAACTGTATGAATCAAACAAATGTGTTCTTACTAATCAATGTTGAAAAAATTACCTTAGGTCCAAAATCACTAAATCTGACAATTTTGCAGCACAAGCAAAGCTCGAAAATCTTTTTTTGTTTATGGGAATTTTCCCTTCTGAGTGAAAGATGATCACTCCAACTAGCTGCTATATCCATTCCCAAATGATCCATTGGAATGTTCAGCTAGGTACCATGATTTTTTTTGTCCCAGATGCCTGAAAATATTTTCATATAAAACTACATTTAGCACATTACAAAGTCAGATTTCCTCTTGATAGTTCATACAATGGCATTTCAGAACAGATAGTGAGAAATTTAAAACACAAACAGAAGACAACACCTTTAATCACATAAGCACATTATATTAAATGGCATTCAGTCTGTAACATTTGTGTCATCACAACTTGACACTGAACACCGTGTGGAGATCTTTGGAAAGAGTTACTCTGTTTGTTAATCTCTCATTGATTTAGGGTTATCATCAAGTCACACCTGTTTTTTCTTACAAAGAAAACAAATGCTGGGTTCATCTCAACGTTCCATTTTGAAAAAGAAAATCAATTATTAGAAAATTATCCACATGCTTATTACCATTTACCACATAGCATTATCGATCAATGAAATGACTCGAAATGATACTTTAGACATCTAAAGTTTGCATATCAGAGCAAACATCATTTTAGTTCATATAACATTTTGAATATTTTAATTTAATAGGAACATTTCCCTCTTAAGAATGATATAGATACTCTTATGGCCTCATTAAAAAAGAAGTTGCACTTTTTACCATAAAACTTACACAAAATGTTTTTTGTTAACTTCTAAAATCTCTAAAACAGCATTAATTCCCATGATGGATTTAAAAAATAACATCACACAATAAAGATTAAAAAAAGAACCTCGTTATTAGGACTAAAATGAATTCTCTGCATTATGCCACCGTAATTTCTTATGGACACCATTTTGACACTTGACCTGCAGATACTCTCACGGCCACTAGAGGTCGCATTTACTTTAAAGTCAGATTATCCATGAAAAATCACCTTAGAGAGGAAAGGTTTCAGAAAACTCCTTGTTGTGAAAAATGACAGCGTTTCAGAAGGACATACTGCAATATTGGATGATGATACATTAAACATGAGCTCTGCTGTCCCACAGACACCTTCCTGCTGCTGTAACCACTCACCAGAGCCCAAAATGTGGCACAACTCCAACTGTAGATTGAGATTAGCCATAGCTTTGTCTACTTATCTTGTAGCATATTTTTTTATTAAGAAAGTGACAATCCCCACTGTTTTACAAAATCAAAGATGAGAGATTTTCAGAATATTTGCATTTTGAAACTGTTACGGAAGTCAGAGCACAGAGAAAAAAATGTACCTGTTGTTTTCATTTTTTTCCCCTCTCAAGATTGGCAGAAAAATATACAAAACAGTCAAACTACATTTATCTTTTAGAAATACCCATAGCGACTGGTTTGGATGGAATGAAACCTTTTGTGACTTTATTCTCGGCACAGAACTGAATTCTAAGTTCTTTACCTGCTTTCTTGTGCGGGTCTTGCCTGTCCTTAACTTGATGTACCTTGCAATTAATTCATTGCGACCTGCAAGGGAAAAACAGAATTAAAAATGATTAAAAACTGCTACTTAAATCTGCAGATTAATGACAATATCTTAAGTTGGTCATAGGGTGGCACTCTTGTCATCCTTTGAGCCAAGAGCAGAGTCACAGAGCTCATCAGAAACATTTTCCTGATTATACATCTGTTTCCTGATACTCATCTTTACATTGAAATAATGGTAAAGGCTGCTTCCTTGGAGTTCTCATTAGCTTGTTTCACACCGCCTTAATGTCTGCTCACATGGCCGTGCTGCCTAATTACAAAGAGTGCTTAGAAAACAGAAACATGTTTTTCATCACATAACATCTATGCTCGAAATTCTACACAAACAGGTTGTGCAGAACTCAGGCATCTATTCTGGGATTTGATGGTTTCTTTTTACAGTTTACATGCCGTGCCTGGTGTTTCAAAATACTGGCCTTTTAGCAAACTGCAGCTGCAATGAGCAAAACTCATTTTTGGTCTATGAGAGGAACAAAAAGCTGCATTATGCTGCCTCTAAGGACAGTCAGTCCATCAGGCCCTTTGAGTTTTCTTCTCTGCCAAGTCACGCTTTTACTGGGTTTCTGTGGCTGAAAATGGGGATAAAGGAAGAGGTCGAACCGCTATATCATTATGAATAATGATTCCAAACTTGCTGACAGAAATTACGCAGACAAAATTGGTCAGGCTTTCTCAGCACATGCAGAAACAAACACGCAGCCGAGCGAGTGTCTCAGAATCTTAACGTCTTTCCAGACGTATAATGACAGGAGGAACGAGTCCTGTTTTTCACGCAGTCTTTAGCGCTTGGCCTCCAGAAGGCCCTGGTTACTGCAATTACCATAAAAGTACTGCGGGCCAGCTCCGGCGGGCTTGCAGCGCCCGCCATACTGGCCAACAAGTCAGTCCGGCAGTTGGCCGGGCGCAGCGGAGCTGAGCTGTCTGCCGATACCGAGGTAGCTCCTCCCACTCTGCCCCGGGCCAAGGATGGACACACCCGCTCCAGCGCCTCCGCATTCCGAGCATTCCTGTGAGCCTGTCACATCTGTGCTAGCCAGTCTGATTGGGCCTGCGAAACACAGCCGGAGCTCGGGTGAGCACACACACACGCTCATTTAGACTTTTTAGCTTTGGGGAGAAGCGGGAGTCGGGGCAGGGGTGAGGGTGAGGGTGAGGGCCACGGGGGCTGGGAAAGGGGGGGGGGGGTTCGCTGGCTATGGAGGGGCGAAAGGGGGCAGCTGAAAAAGGGCAGGGACTCTTGGAGGAAACACAAAGCCATAACTGTCTCTGCCAACAACCACCACCTGGCAGCCCTTCTCCCGAAACGACACCACAGTGTGACCCCCGCAGCCAACGGACAAACAGCACCTGCTGCGGACCGTCCCAACCGAGGATGACAGCAAGAAGAACAATGGCCGTTCCACCCCCACCCAACTGTCACTCTCAATCTTTTTTTCTGGGAGGCAGAGGGTGTCAAACATTGAATTGCCCAAAACACACTATTCTGACAACTTCCTGCAAATGATAATAAATACTGAGATACAAGCAAACAGGGAGGGAAAGACTCACTAAAACTAGCTAAAGAAATGTAAAACAGAAACATGGAAAGTATCTGAGGATAATCTGCTTTCATTTTCACAATCAAATCTTTTCTGTCAATGATTAAAGCAGACAGTACACATGCTTTTAGTAATTTGCGGAAATGCTGACGGAACTAGCTGGTGTTTCTTATAAAATGAATCAAAACTCTGTTTTAATACTTGTACTAGACTGTGACAATTTGGAGCTCTGAACTCAGATCATCATTTCAGATTTTTTTCTAAAACATCTGGTTGGTATTAAGATACTGCAAGTCAGTGCTTTTGTTTTATGTATTATACGACATCGTGCTGAGACACCACTGTTAAGTGGGCCAGGTAAGCGATTCCAGCAAAAAAATCTAACAGACCCCATTGGGAAAAAAAAAAGGAACTCCGATTCCTTCATGGTCTTTACCAGCCAATAATTGCAGCTCTCAAATGTTTAGATATCTTAAATGAAGCCATTTGACGGAGGGGAAGATTTAACCGTGAATGTCACAGATCTAAAGAAAAAGAACCGAGGAAATGTGCTATAGGCAGGAAATCAACCTGCTGATTTGAGTTCAATGAATAGAATGAAGGTTCTACCACAAAAGCAAAGAAGCGTCCATTTGAAAAAAAAAAAGCTTCTTAAAATTGTACACAGAAGATTTAGAGATCTTCTGTTTTGTCAATCTGCAGCCGTGGCAGTCGACATCTGCTCAGACTTGCCACGGTTGGAGGGGATCAGACAGTCAGAGGTCCGCACTGCAGGGAATCCTGACAGGTGCATTCAGACAGACACACACTTGTACAATCGCATGCAGGGCCTCATTGTCCTCTGCATTCCCACATTTGTGCTTTCCATCTCTTGAGCGCTTTCAAACCGCTCATGACTCCCCAGTCGATTGCTCAACCCTCACGCAGATCGCTGCAGGCTGCTGTTCTTAACCTCTTCCCTTGTCAAGACACGCCCATCTTTTTTCTTTGACTACGTGATTACTGGAATTTTCCACTTCCACGGTAAGATAGCGAGCGAAAAGGTAAATCTCGATTCGCTGGCCGTTACTTTCTCTCCTCCTTCTTTTTCTGTATCTTCCACTCGGCCTCGTCCCCCGAACACTTCTCCGCGTCCTTACTTTCCTCCCTCCTCCCTTCTCATAACATTGAGGTAATCCTAAATTGCTAGCATACTGCTCAGCCATGACTGAAAACATTCCTAACATCTCAGAGAGGGGGCTGACAGGGCAGCATCAGGCCCGCTCTGTCATCAAACAGACTCGCTTAGCCCCCTCTCTGATACCTCCACACACATGTTCGCCCACAACTGAGCACACGGACAGAACCGGCTGCTAACTCAGACGTGGTCAGCGAAGGTCAGAACAGACACGAGTCTCCCCCCCCTCCTGCTCCAGCCTTTTTTTCCTTTCTCGTACCCAGAGTGCTTTGCAGTAATGACAGCTGCAGGGCTGAGGAGGGAAAAAAGGTGTATTCTTTTTTGCTTTGACACACCTGTTGAGGCCAGAAAACGCAGGTGAACAACATGTCAGCACAGCCCCGAAGCCAAACAAGACGGGCAACATTTTTTCAAGCTGCTTCCTCTAAACCCTGAGTGTAAAATGTTTCAAGTATTCAATATTGCAAAGAGGAAATGTGTCGGCTTCGTCTTCAGATTTCTGTTCTATTACAGCGCTATTCATTGACCACAAACTTGAATTTTAACATAATGTACTGACCCACAGAAACCCTAAGAAAATAAAAGATCTATAATTCTAAATATCTGACACCAAAGCTAGCTAGCTTTAAAATTCATTGAAGTGTTTCCGCTGCATAGCTTAGGAGTTTTGTTGAACTTCAAACAAAACTAAGTGAATTCTGCTGACTTGAAATTGATTTTTTTTTTTTTTGCCGAGACCAAAGAAGAAACATACAAACAGGATGCTTGTTTAATAACAGTATTATAATTAAAGGTCTGTACTTTTCACCAGCTATGCCTTTGTTTTTGTGTTATGGGCTGTCAACACTGAGAACAATGAGCATCCCTGCTGCTGAGCCATAAGGTCTGAACAGAAACAGAACATGCATGTACCCAGACCCCAAAAATGCTTTTTACCCCGCAGAAAAAGAAAGAGCCTGAGGGTTGTGGCTGAACACAACTCAACAAGGGGAAAGAGGAGAAAGGAGAATCAATCACTACAGTTAGATCCAGTCTTATTACTTTGATGATATTTGCTAATCGTCAAAGAAAACACGACCCACAAAGACAGTTCAGCGGTGTATTATACAGGATTTGATGAGGGAGATCTAATTTCAAATGTCAGATGGGAACAAACAAGGTGCCTTGTGATTGGCAGATATTAAAGGTTTTGACAACACCTCTGTTCATTAAATCTGGCTGCCTTTACTCTGATTGGATCATGAGCACATGGCTGATGAGAGTAAAAAGATGTTCCAGCTGACCAGTCTCGGAATCTGATTGACATGGAGTGTGGGCTCTCTCTGGGCACTCAAGCTTAAGCCTTAATCCTCAAGCCTAAAGTCTGAATAATTCAGTGTTTACGGGTTCCTTGTCATAAAATAATATAAATGGGAAACTTCTTGTTGCTATGGATTTAAATTCTATTGAATCAAAGCTGTTTGGTTAGTTCCCATCTTGGACCCTTATGTTGCTGTTTGGGCTTTACAAGTTGGAAAATCATTGACCTGTCGAGCTTGTTGAAATAAGATGCCACCTTTGTGTAGACAAACTCGTTATTTATTAATGTAGACGTGAGCAGTCCACGTGGAGACACGTTATAGTGAGCAATCCTCGTCTGATGTGTTTTTCAGATGAACCTAAATGAATGAATTACAGAGCTGTCTCAACTCTAAAATAAATGTTTTTGACACATCACAAATGAAGAGGCAAGCAGATTTTAAATTTGAAAGTGTCAGAGCAGTGTAGGCACGCGTCATCATACATTTTTTCACCATGAAATCAGCGAGAACCGGATACAGAGATTTGTGTGCCGGGAATTCAAACCTTGACTGCGACAGGCGGCATATTCATGCGCTCATCTGCACAACTAATCATGTGACTGTCGCGTGTTGGGGATTGCCATTGGATTCTTTGGCCAGTATTAATGCCATCCTTTACCGCCTTTCACAATTGTGCAAATCGTTTTTTATGATTCAGGTCAGAAATCGCTGTGGCAGCAATGGCCAAGTCCCAGCTAATCTACGCTAATTTACACAGTCTTTGCAAAGGAAATCCTGATGAATATCTACCAATCTCCCATTGTTGGTTATTGGGGTTATTTGGCTTGGTTTTGTACTTCGACGTGGTATTACTATATAATAAATTACCCCTCTATCATTATTGACCTGAAACTACACAGTAACTACAGGAAAAGATCTGTATTCATGTCTGAAACCACCACAATGATTGTTATTCTAATTAATAAAGACGACTGCTTTAAATTGTACATCATCCGTAGTTAAACTTTTTGTCACCCCAGTGCTATATAAGTGACTGGAAATGCTACTGAATAGTCTAGACACAGTGGAACAGTCTTCACACATGTAGGAAGCGTCCACCAGCTAATGGAAATCTCTAAAGGTTTCCCACCAAATAAAAAAAAGAAGAAAAAAAACCCTGGCACAAAAAGTGGAATTCCCAATGGGAGGGATGACTTGTCTACTTTTGGAGGCCACTGGGAGTCTGGGACTGCAAGGTAGACAGTATTACATGCAGCGCAATCGCTAACATTCCCCCAACCTCACGTCAGGGCAGCTTTTAGATGTCTGAGGTAATCACCTTGTGAGAGGGGTTCTTCTGGGGCATGCCTTGGCTCTGCCTGTAGAGCTTCAGATGACTTATTGTAAATTGAGAGGGTGTTTAGTGCCCTAGAAAAAAACAGCCTCTAAAAGGGGTCCTGACAGTTTGTTGCTAAGGGGGCGGGTTCGTGCACAGACTCTTTTGTCGGCCCCGCTGTAGAGTAGAATGTAGACTTTAAGATATGGAGGTAAAATCAAAGATGGTTTCAAATGGTTACATTTCACTACAGTAAATTATAAAAGCATATAAAAGAGCATTAAAATGACTCTCCCCACTAGCTCTGTCCTTCGGGAAATCTGACCAATTTTTAGTGACATACATTTACATAAGAAAAATCAGCATCTTCAACATAAACATAAATTTAATCTTCTTTTAACTCAGTTTAAAATCTTGAAATTTCATGTTCCATTTTTTTCCAAGCAGCAGTGCAATTATTTAAATAAAAGGAAAGGAACAGTTGAATATTAAAAATATAATAAAATAAAACTTATCAGTTTCTTTTGAAGTAGGTTTTGACTAATTGTTTACTATATTTCCCTCCACTTTGCTTCCCAGGAGGAGATGATCCACGAAACTATCTGAGTAATCTCAGGTATGCGCTCGTCCCTGAATGTCTAAATCTGAATGGATGAGATTCCATCTTAGATGATTTATTCAAAAGGAATCTGGTGTGATGTCAAGCGCCCGAAAGCCTTCCAAAACAAAACACTAATGCCCGAAATACACACACAGCCCCACTGAAAACGCAAATGTGGCAGCCATTACTTGTTTTTCATGGCCCCACTGAGGCTGCAGGCAGCTTTGTGAGAACGGATGGACATGGAAAAATCAACATTCAAACTGTTGAATGTTAAATTGCTAAATTGAATGAAGAGACATGTATCTGAAAAACAGGGACGAGTAAGTGGGAACAAGCTAATGAGAGACAAATGCATTCAGTTGCCTACACCTGGATATTAGTGATCCTACAACAGCTCTTGCCAATGTAGCCATCTGGGCTTTTTCAGGACATTACATTCCCAACACCTGCAATTTAATGATCACGCTGCAGGAAACTACACAACTATTCCGAAACCACATAGATATTTGAAATCTTCAGCAGAGGAGCATGCCAATGCGAGTTTTTTTTTTTTTCCTGAGTCTCGTGCTGAGCTAATTATTGCTGATTTAACAGAGCAATGCAGCATCAAACAGAACGTTTCAACACAAACCAGATTAAACCACTCGCCTACAGTGATTTTGGTGCAGGGAGAAACAAGATAATGTACACCAGCCATAAAAACAAAAAAAAACGACGGAAGGCCGAGTGAAGAAGAGAGAGGGCCGTAAAACAGTCGGCATAAAATCAGACTGTAATGAACAACATTCTAAAGAAAAAGAAAGGTGTAAATCAGTGGGGAGAGGAGCCGAGCCACTCTGAGGCCGACATTAACCAGCTCTGAGAGTCCCGGTGCGACTGGAAGAACCTGCCCTCGGGTCACCGCACAACAGGTACAGACCTGTTAGAGGGAGCTCTGTGAGAAAAGAAAACATTCACCTCTGGCTTGTAGATGAGACGCGAGAGCTAAGAGTAAAAATAAAAAAAAAGTAATTTTGTCTCCTGATTTTGAAGCAGCACATTTGATATTTGTTTGCTTTCAGCCACAAGTCACTGTGGAATGGATGGTTTTCTCATTTCGCACAATCATTACGGGGTTGATTTCCATGTAATTGTTGTTCTTTTGCTGCTCTGGCTGTTACTCACCATACATCTTTCCCTCATCAGACAGGATGATTTTCCTCCTGCCACAGGGTGGGTAGATGGCGAGGGCCTCCTGGAAGCTCTGTTCGATGTCCGGGCTCCAAACTCCCTCGGCGTCCCCGTCCATGGCCTTGTCCTCACTGTCCCCGTCCAGCCCATCTTCTGGGCTACCGTTGGCACTCCACTCGTTGGACGCAATGGTGGCGGCTCCCCCTGGGCCCAACCCCGAGCCCCAATATCAAAGGATCTGTAAGAGATCTGTGAAATACATCAAGAATTAAAACCTCAGAAAATAACCGTCAGCCTGTTAACAGTTCATTGAAATTCCTCCACCAGGAAAGCAGGTTAAAAAGTGAGAAGGGGGCTATCTTAGTTAAAGATTTTGGTATTTTCTTAAGCAGAAAAACATTCTCCTTGTCCCTGATGAGCTCAGAAAGGTTTTCATATTTATCCTAACCTGAGTAATTCCTGGTCATTGCTGAGAAATTAATTTAACATAAGACAATGAAAACGAACTCGGTGATTTCATCTAACACATAATTGCAAGTGTTTTTTTCTTTCGGTGACGTTTTGTGTATGGAAACAATCAGCCTGTTGGGCAACTTTGTGGAAGTCTGAAATCCCCGCTGGGGTTTAAGCTGGATGAGCAAGTTTTATAACTCTATGAACGCACTGATCTACGATAACCTGGAGGCCACTGCCTTTGAATTTATGATGTTCATCCCCTCAAACAAATGTTACTTTACTGGTGCAAGTTAACTGGCTCAATCATCAGGAAAGTCTACAAACCGCACCATTTCCTTCCTGTTTGTTACGGCTTTGTACTGTTTTTTCCTCCGAAATCTACTGAATTGAAGGTTTTCTATGCTGCAAATTAGACTAATTTAAATAAAAGCATGAGATAATCTTTATTCCAAGTCTTTAAACGTGTCTGAATAAACAAGACAGACCGTAATTATTATTATTATAATTGCCTTAATTTTATTTCACTAGAATGTCCAAATGATTTCAAGACATTCCATAAAACAAAGTTTAAAGACCTCACTAATCAGCACTGGCCTCAAAAAATTCTTGCGGTCTGGGAACTGCGTCCCATTGTGGTTGGCTTATGGCTGACTGCAGGCAAAGAACTTAAGTATTTTTCAAGCTGCCTTTTCGCCGTTGTATTGTTTCTGAAATGGAAGTCAATTGATGATCCTCCCAGGATGCTTGTGTTTCTGCTTTAGCATTTCTGCTTACACTGACGAAAGGAAATGAAACGGGATCAATGAGGCGAGCAGTGAAACCCAAAAAAAATATCAGGAAACAAATCAATTTGCTTTTCCAGGATAAGACAAGCTTTTATGCAATGTTGCCTGGTTGAGTGGTGTGAAGCTTTCTAACGTCAGAGGGTGAGAACGTACTCAGAGCGTGTTTGTTGTGATGTTGGAAATGAACCCAGAAACATTTGATCAGAATGTTTATGTCTGTCAATAAACCCCCACAACCCCACCGTACACCCACACACTTAGTCCTTCTTCATCTTTTCTTAGAAGATAAATCAACTTACTGTGGGGATAAAAAGCAAAAGCGGATTAGCGATGCCTCCATTAGCATCTCGTCATTATTTAAGAGGAATTCAAGAGATCAAAGAAAAGCAGGCCTTGCACCAACCAGAGGTCCTTCAGCGAGATTCCACAACACACAACCTGACATTCAGGGCTGTCGCTGAACCCAAACCAAAGTTTGACAAGTATCCGCATGTCAAGCTGCTAATTTTAACTGAGAGGAGACTGGTTATGGCGGACGTTTTGCAACGGGGTCACAGTGTTAAGACTCAACACTGAAACTGAGCACTCATCGGCAGCTCAAATGATCCATCTTCATAGATCGCACGCCTGGATAGTTCCACGCGAGGGAAGCTGCATGTCGCCACACCTGCGGTTCCCTCCAGCATGCCACGTCGAATATTCTTAATATTTGGCTATATTTTAAAAGTTTGAATAAAGAAAATAATCACGATTAAATCGCTGCTTAAATCCCAGCATTTTGACATATGCTCTACTAAATAATAACTACTGGAATCAAACTGCTGATGTCAGTTGCCCAGCTTACTTACCCTTACTGTCATAACTGATCAACGAAACCTTTCTGTCTTCACATTTAGGAATCTGACCAATTTGTTTGAAAACAAAAAAACAGTGCGCATTGCTGAACTGTCACCCGTAGCTCGGGGAAACTTGTGTACATTTATTACACGTTAATGACACTCTTCTGGTATAAAGCTGCTGTTATTTCCCAAAATAGTCACTACTTTCAGCCCTGAATAGAAATAGTATTTTCAAGCTAATTAGAATAAAACAGGGGGCTTGCATCACTAATTATCTATCGCAACCGATCGCAACAGATAGGATCAAATCTTACTTCATTTATTTTATGGATTACAGAAATCCATGTTGACGCACACACAAAAAAAAATACACGGCACAAAGGTCACACCAACGCAAGCTTAATCCTTAAATACACATTTTAGCCTTTGGTTCAGCAGATGCTGGTTATAAAATCACTCTGAGGCAGCTCAAAGTGTGTTTAATGGGAAGCACAGGTGTGTGGTATTGTAACAGCTTTTGGTGATCGGAGGCTGATGGGAGAAGTGGCTGCTCTATTGTTTATCTCCAATTATAGCAGAGAAAACACCACCCTCCCGGCCTGCCCCGGGAGCCGTGGGGAGCGGCGAACAGCGCTCTGTTTGACAGCAGATCTGACGACCTCGGTGCGGCTCCAAGTGCTCACACGAGTGTGTTCACGAGAGGTGCAGCGAAAAGAGAGGCTCTTCACCGCGAGAGGGGCCTGAATTCCAGACATGTCCTTATTAAGAAAGGGCTGCGAGTGCTCACTGTTTCTCCTCCTGCCTCCCTTGTGTCAACTCAACGCCCTCCCTCCCTCCCTCCCTCCCTCCCTCCCTCCCTCCTTCCCTCCCTCCCTCCTCTGCCTGCCACCCCCCTCCACCAAAGGCTCAGAATGTCTCTACCCAAATAAGGGCAGGAGACCAGGGGATGCGTGTATGGGAGGAGTGGGTTGGTTGGCTGGAGGGCAAAGGGGGGAAAAGGGGTGTGTGCGGGGGGAGTGGGGGGGGGAGAGGGGCGAGGGGCATTGTGGGCAGAGGGGGGGTTGTTGTCCAATTTAGGCGTCCACTTTGGAGTCTGGAAAACAGTGGGATTGTTCCAGCTGGAATGCAACATCAGCACTGAAAGGCTCCCACTTTATGACACTCGGGGCTCAGACTGGAGGGAGTCCGCTGACAGCGGAGCCCTTTTTTCAGACTATTGTGAAGGATTTGAAGTCTGACGACTGTCATGAAAAAAAAAAAAAACTAAAACAGTTACTTTTATGGACACAATGCAACAGCTTGTTTGGACCTTGGCGAGATTCTCAAAATGATGGCTAATAGGATTCTGCTGCCAAATTTGACTCACTAGCAGCCCACTATTTAAAGGAAGGGCTGTTGTAAAGAACATGTGGATGGCATTAGAAAAGCCGTTGCTAACACTGTCATGCCCTTTTGGGTGATGACTAACACAACAAAGTAAATAAAAAGATACACAAAGCCGTAAGTAACAAAGCTCCCATGCTGTGAGTCTAAGTTCACGATCTATTTCAGACTTATTGGAAAAAATCTAAACATCTATGCACCTTAAAGAAGATCTTTTGATCCTCAAATGGGGAAAACATGATAAGGAAATTGTTAAGTTTCAACCTCCTAACATCCCATCTGAATGACACACTTCTAGCACATTTTACATTCAATTTTTCAACTCAATTTAATTTACTTAGTGCCAAATCAGTGCTTTTCATAAAGAGCAGGTCTAGACAGTACTCCAAAGTTATTTATGTTTTTTAACTTAAAAAAACAAGAAAAAAGGAAAATGAACCAGTGACACACACCTTCCCTCCCAGATTCTGGGAGTCACGCCATAAGGCTCAGACCAACATGCTACAGAATTCCAATGTGCAGCAGGAATGTAAATACTGCTGTAAAGCTATGCGCCTTGCACATTCATTGAAACAGCACCATTCATGCACCAGAATTCCTCTTCCCATTTTCCCAGCCCTGAACAGAATGATGAAATTGCTTTTTTGTGTGTGTGTGTGTGTGTGTGTGTGTTAGCGACCGGCTTATCTCTGCTCCGGCTCCATCTACGGACCGACCGGGGTTTGTTGGCACACTGGCTAAGTTGCCGTTCTTCTTCCTAGACAGGACTGAGTAACACTGAATTCCTGTAATTCTTCTGAGTCACTCTGAGGCTGCTCAGTCACAAGGAAAGAAAGTTGTCAGTACATGGACGGGATTCCATTACCGATGTTTCAGGATTACACAGAGGGAAGGAAAACACCTCCACGTACCAGTGGGTAAAACTCTCCAAATCTGTGTGCTCGGGTGATTAAAAAAAAGACACTCTTACAGTCAGCAGCAGGCAAAAAAAAAACTAATCTTTCAAAACAGGCAGAGTTGACTAATGTTTAAATAATACCTCTTATCCCTCAGTTTCATCTTCCACTGAGCATGAGATCATCTTAGTGCTCTCAAATGGACCAGCCAGCTGGATTTCTACTTACGCAGCACAATTCAAAGACGACGGACCTTGAGACATAATTACTCTGTCATGTCCCAATTTTTATGGCATAATGGCCACATCTCTTCTACGGTCCAGTTGTAGGAAAAGTACTTTTTTTTTTTTTTTTAGCCAGCAGACGCTTAAGACAAAACAGGATGGATCATAGAAACACATTTGAACAGACTAAACATCCCACCATCGGAGCCATGTGAGCCCGTTGTGCCAGGAGAGCAGTGTTAGCAGCACAGAAAAAGGCTCAGCATCAGTAGAAACGTTTTTTTTTCGAGCTCAGAGTTTGACATCTTTGCCCAGCGAGTCAGCCAATTACGTTGTGTGCTCCCTCCTTTAAAATAAGACCCATAACACATGAAACATGTGTTTCGAGACCAACATGCGGCCACTGTTCACTCACTTCTGAGCAGCCATCAGGTAATGCACTGAACATTTGCATCCATCCCTGCTTGATTTTCCCAATCAAAGCCATTTGGACGGGGTGAGAAGGCTATCTCGGTGTTCTGTTCCCTAATATTTATACCATGACCTTCATTTGTGCGACTGGTACCTTGTCACATACCATTAAAACCTTTTGGGGATGAGGTTGCTGCAGGCTGTTCTCCACTGGCTGGAATCCACCGCTATGACAACATGCGCTTTGTTTTGATTCTCAGATCCTCAGATCAACTACTTCATTTTGGAAATTTAAACTTTGAACCAATGGGATGAAAT